AGTCCGAAATTTTCGGAAAGTTCGGAAATCGTACTAATTTTTTTAAGGCCAGTCCGGAAGTATTGAAAAAGTGCGGAAATTCCGCAAGAAAGTCCGGAATTTTTTTCGTTTTTTCGTCATTTTTGTCGCGATTTGAGAGAAAAATTCAAATTTTTGAAATTTTTCGAATTTCGTCAAATGGAGGTACTAAAAAAGTACTGAATTTCTCTGTTGAACAGATACTGAATTTCTTGGGAATAAACTGAAAGAGTACTGATTTTTGGCCAGCCTGTTTAAGTTGACACGCTGTTTCGTCACGATTTCAATTTCAGGGGGTGTTTCTGAAAATTAATTCCACAACAAAAACAACGGAACCACTTTTAATCCTTCAATTTTTTTAAATTTTTCGAATTTCGTCAAATGGAGGTACTGGAAAAGTATTGAATTTTTCTGTTGAGGTATTTAATTTTTTGGGAATATATCGAAATTGTACTGCAAAAGTACTGATTTTTGTCCGACCTGTGTAAGTGGACACTCTGTTTCATCACAATCTCAATTTCAGGGGGTGTTTTTGAAAGGAAATTCCACAACGAAAACAACGGAACCACTGTTAATCCCCACCGCTTCATATTTTTGAAGATATTAGATTTTAAAATTTCCAAATTTTGTCCGACTTCTCCCGTTGAATCTTTCCACCGAGCGCCGCGCCCTGCTCATCCCTCGGTCTGGAGCGGACTCTTGGCTACAATAAGACTTGGAACCGTGGGACTTGGACCCTTCATCCCTCTCCTCCGCAAGTTTTAATTACGGCCGTTTTTAGAATCGGCGAGGAGAAGCGGGTTTCTTTCGGCGCAGTTCGTCGTTTCTCGAGCGGAGAACGTAACCAGTAACTACATTTCTAGAATGCAGAATCTTCACTCGTAAATTGTGTTTTTATTACAAAACCGTTGAGTGTTGTTGATTGGATGTTTCACTGATTTTTCCTTTGGATACTCGCAAAAATCAGCAATTATACAGAACCGTGACAGAATTATAACAAATCGTGATAAATGGACATAAAATTTCGATTTTACATAGTTAAAATTGTGATAAGATGGAGGATAAGCGCTCAAATGTCGACAATCCCAGCGATTTTACCGCAGGAAAATAGCGTTTAATTTCAAAATATCGCGATTTTTCCACCAGGAAGTACGACGGTATGTCCCTGTCATGCAGCGCGAAGTGGAGGTTTGCGGGGGAGAAGTAAAGCGGAAAGATCCGGGCAGAATAATAAAGGCGAGAGATGGTTCATCGAGTTGTTCCTTGCTTCCGCTCTCAGCCTTTTCTCACGCGAGGCACGAGTACGAGAAATCGTCGCTCCCGTGACGGGAGGGCATATCTCGATATTCGCATGAGCCCCAGTAAGCATGGATTGACTCGTGAATCAGGGCTCACGTGAAAATTGAGGTACGCCCTTATGTTAGAGGGGCGACGAAATGAGTAGTGAAGAGGACACAAACCGGGTGACGCGACGCGACAGTCCGATGCTGAAACCGATCCGAGCCGCCACCGCCGGGAATCGAATTGAGAAAATCATAAGCACAAACCGCCAATGCATCGAGATTTCCTTTTCCTCCCGGTCTCGCTGCCATCTGTGGTCGCTCCTGCCCGGGTCTCGGAGTCGTCGTAATACCCCCGCGAAAAACTTCCCCATACTATTTTGTCGCATTATAAAGAAAGCATGTGCCGTTTTCCGCTCTTTCGCCAACTCGGAGAGCCGGGCACGACAAACTTTCCCCAAAGTTTCTTGATAATACTTCATTCGGTTCTTTATGTTGTTGAAAATTTAGAGCTTTCCCCTTCCCTGTTCCTTTTTCACCGTCCCCCCTGCCCTCGCCCCCTGGGCCCCATGCCGTCGACACACCCGAGCGATCTGCGTTTCCAGTTTCGCTCGATGCCAGCCGTCTAATTTTCCAGCATTTCAGTTAAATTAATCGCTTAATCTTCGCTCAAGTGGTTGGTCTCCGCACCCTCTACTCGCTAGCTTCATGGTAACTTGTGATAATAGCGAGTCAACGGTCACGTACACTAGAAAAAAACACATTGGATCTAGAGTCCAGACTCTTAAAAACATTGACAAGAAAAAGTACTCTTGATTCAATCAGAATCTAGCTTAAATCAAGAACCAAGCCTCTTAATTTAAGCGGGTTTCGTTTTGATTCAAGCAAAAATCCGCTTGAATCAAGAGTATTTTTCCTTGTCAATGTTTTCAAGAGTCCGGACTCTAGATCGAATGTGTTTTTTTTTTTCCAGTGCGCTTACCCACGCATACAACCCATTAAAAAGCATTTACAGTTTTATAAGTTAAGTGTTTTTAATACATTAGTACCCTTATGCTCTTCTCTGTAATTCAATTACTTCATTGTCGACGGAGCCGTAAACATTGTCACTCATTCCTTCATACTCGGCTACGGAGAAAATGATTGTGGAGTCGCAATTCCATTGCGGAGTACACACTGCCGTGCTTACCAAGGGCGATAATGTAGCCGGACGGACGTAGCAAAATAGCGGTTGCCGAGTTTTTAATGACGCAAACCGGGGGTATTCGGTCACCGGTTGTTTTTTACGACGGCGGAAGCTCATCTCGCCCCGCATCCTCGCGTCTTCTCCGCCGTTCCTCTCCCCCGATTTTTCCTCGCGTTCCGCTTTCATCCCTCTCTTTATTTATCTTTCATTTTCCCCCGCCATTCACCGTCGGAACCTGAAACACTGAGTGTACTAATATTTCATACGTGCTTTGTCGCTCAAAAGCACTGAAAAAGAGTATGAAGAAGCTATTCCAGAATTCAATAGTGGTTGAAGTTTTCAAGCTATGAATAATTCATCAACACCCCCCTCGCCCCCCTCGCAGAATCCCCCGCCCCCTCACTCTCGTCCGTTTGACTAACATCCTCGTCTTTTTTGCGCGATCAGGCGGGGTGTTATCGGTGCATAACATGTCTTTCATTATACCCCCTCTGAAAGTTTTAAATGTAGGTTTCATTCAACCTAGGTCATTTTCTGCCCTCTCTGCTTTGTTGACAGCTCCCGCCGCGGACAGCCTCCTTCTATTACGCAACTCCACTCATAGAATATTGTCTCGTTGACGATCCTTTTTTGCGTGCCGCGTGAACTTTTAGTATAAGGATGTCAGCCCCCCTCGCCCCCTACTAGATTCCCCCAAGGCCCCGATCTTTTTGTCGTGTTCCCTCTTACTGACCCCATATTCGTGTGGGGGACCTAATCCTTCTTTATCAGCGGTAATTATAAAGGGGTTCCAAGATTCCATGCTCAAGGTGTCTACAAGTCCGGAAAGTCCGGATATAGTACTGATTTTTTAAGGGCGGTCCGGAAGTACTGAAAAAGTGCGAAATTTCGCGTAAAGGTCTGGAATTTATGTCATTTTTGTCGCAATTTGAGCGAGAAGTTCAAATATTTCGAATTTCGTCAATTGGAGGTACTGAAAAAGTACTGAATTTCTCTGTTGAGGAGGTACTAAATTTCTTAGGAATGGACTGGAAAAGTACTGATTTTTGGTCAGCCTGTTTTAGTAGACACCCTGTCCATGTTTCGCCACCACATCAATTCGTCGCTTGGCTGACATAAGGGCATAACTAAACACTGAGATGAGCCCGGAAAAGCATTACATTGTATGGAGAACAGGGTCCATTGCCGAATGTAGTTACGCCCTTATGCCAGGTAGGCGACGAATTCATCGAAAAATTCAAAATAGTAGACTGAGTAATTCCTACTGAAATGATTAAAATTAAATTTCAAAGATGGACGATATGCCCCGCATTTTTTTGTTTAGGAAAATCACTGTATTTTCCGGAGGAGAGCGGATTTCGGGAAGCTCCCCTAACATCCCCTTCGTTCCGCTCAGTATAAAAAATATTTTAAGTTAAAAATTGTTTTGGAATTTTTCGGAGTTGTTAGACGTGATTTAGAATCTAATAACATGATCCGACAACGTTGTTTTGCCCTCATTTCTTGTGATTTCTCTCGTAGTTCTCGCCTTCTTCTCTCGTGAAAAATTTGACGTACGTCTTGAACTGGTCGAAGTTGGTGGTTCCAGTTAAGAAGGCGGAAATAGACTAACTCGAGTGCAACGCGGACACAAAGTTAGAGGAGTTGGAGTGATCGCCATTTTGCCAGTCCAATTTCGAGTTTGACCTACGGAGTGGCCCTTTAAAAGCTCTTGCTTTCTTCTTCCGCACTTGACTCCCCCGCGTGCATGGTAACATTAAAGTTTATGCGCATGAACGGGCGCGGTTCGGTGAATCGACGCATGGAACAGTTCACTATGGAGGTCCTTATATACAGCTCAACTATTTCTCAATTTTTATCGTCAATCAGGGGATCTTGGAACAGCGTGTTGCAGGGTGTCTACAAGTCCGAAATTTCCGGAAATACTACTGATTTTTGAGGTCCGGAGCGGTCCGGAAGTACTGAAAAAATGCGGAAATTCCGCCCGAAGGTCCGGAATTTTGTTCATTTTTTCGTCATTTTTGTCGCAATTTGAGGGGAATCTCAAATTTTTGGAATTTCGCCAAGTGGCAGTACGAAAAAAGTACTGAATTTTCCCTATTGAGGGGGTACTGAATTTCTTGGGAATGCACTGAAAAGTACCGTAAAAGTATTGATTTTTGGGCAGCTTGTTTTAGTGGACACCCTGGTGGTGCTGCACACTGAAACGAGCTGATAGAAGAGGTTGGACATTAAATTTTCGGCTAAAATTTCAAATTCTGATGTTCATTTCGCCACAAATTCAATTTCAAAGGGTGTCTCTGAAAGGAATTTTTGCGAAAAAACCAACGGAACCACTCTTAAACTTCTTTGTTCTATATTTACAAAAATATCAGCTTTCAAAGTCGCCAGATTTTGTCTGACTTCTCATATTGACTCGGTTCAGTGTGTGCCGTATCTCGGCACTTTTATTTGCATCGATCATGAGCAAATTGATTGACTTTTTTCTAATTTTCACGTTTTATTTTCTGTTTCAGATAAAGCAATATGAAAAATTAGAAACTGTTGAAGAAAGAATGAAATTAGCAAAAGAAATTTATGATAATTATATTATGAAAGAGTTACTAGCCAGTTCACACGTAAGTTTTGTTTTTAAATGTCTATTTATCTTTTTGTGACCGTCCACAGGAAAGGAAACCTCAGTCCCCTCGTTTCTTTCCTGACATGACGTAACTACATTTAACGATGAACCCTGTTGTCCACGTTACTCAATACTTCCCAAGGCTCATCTTAAAGTTTAGTTACGTCCTTATGTCAGCCAAGCGACTCCCTGAGGCAAAAGCACTGGAGCAGTTTTGTTCGAGCTGGTCCCAAAATCGAGTTTCGCAATTTCGACTTAAAACTCCATAGTCCCGAAGAATGATATATGAGCCGCCTTTGTGCCATCGTCATCTGGCAATTTCATGCCCTTAACATGGCACAAAAGACTTTAAGTGTTTTTTTCTCGGAACTTTGTTTCTTGATCCACTTTTAAATCATCTGCATGTACCTCCAGTTTAGTTTGAAATTTTTGAGGTTTTTTTTTTTTGTCTCAAAATACCCATAGAACACTACTGCTCCGACTGAACTACTACTCCGATTTGAATAACTCAGTTTTCAGTTTTTTTTGACTGAGGTCCCTTTCCCCGTTGACTGTCACGTCGATTTTGTATATTTTATCTCTAAACTAAAAATGTGATAATTCACGGAATTGTAAACTAATTTAACCACCCCCGTGATTAAATTAGTTTACAATGTGGTTAAAGTAGCATTTTGTTGTTGTAAAATCTGCGTTGAAACATTGCACTCACTGTTTTTAGCAATTGAATTGTTGAATCAGCAATTTTTTTTCCCGTGTTGATTATAATATGATCTATCTATATCCGAGCCCAACATTAAAAATGAGAGCTCCAAATGGGAGTCATCGGTGAGTCGGATAATTGTTCCCCGAAACCTTTGCAACACGTGCAGTTTTTAGTAAATTGGATAAAATGGAGCTCAAAACAAAATTACGACTGCTGAGCAATCACCGATATGACTCTCGTTTTTTTCTCCTATTTCTAGTGCGCGAACTTCACATTAGTCTAAGGTTTTTCTGGAGATTTGTCGAGAGCAATAATAATGAACTCAGTGAAATCTATTCCGAAATGAAGTTTAAAAGTCCCGAACACCTCATCCATTAATATGCCATTGACAAATTTTTGACTTTTTAATCACGCACATCAACTTTTCTCAGGGTCGAAAGAAAAGTATTGAGTCCTAATTCTTTCTATTAGCAATTACGGAAAATTTAAACAGCAACGACAATCGTATATCGTTGGAAAAGACTCTCTATTCATGAGTTGCTGGAAAAAGAAGAAACAAAGAGAGTGAGAAAAAGAGTAACCGGGAACGATTGAACCCTTTGAAGTTGAGAATGAGCTTTTCCAGTGCGCAGCACTTTAAAATGAGATTCGAAAGTCCTCTCTTCTCGCATGATTAAAAACCATTCATCAAACGTACAAATAATTCGTTAAGATACATATGCAACCTCCCTTCTACGGTGTAAATATATTATCCTCAGCCTCGTAGTCTCCAAACAGTAGAGAAGAAAAAACGTGTAAGGAATGTCCCGTTTGTATGTCCATTGCATTATTTTGTCACAGATACACTGATTGTATGCCCCTGTATTAATACTCGTAACCAAGGCTTTTGCGATCTTGCTTCCGAACATTCGTTATGACATGTTCCTCTCACACTCGCGGGAAAGCATAAACTCCCAAACCACGTATATCGGTTTGCGACGTTGCAGGCTTCATTTCATACTTTATTTTCTATTTTGAGAACTACTCAACGTCAGGAGAATGATACTATTGTAGCTATGCTACCTTAATTATTTGTCTTTTTTTTTCTATTTCATGTTGCGAAGTACTTTTCGGCCGCTGTACTTTTCGCAGGGTCATCATCAACCAAGCAAATAAACAAACTAAGCAGAAACAATACACTAATAAGTATAATACATAACTAGAAAAATCTTACGTAAAAAATCTTAAATTAATTCAATCCTGAGCCAAAAAGTACTTCGCAGTATGATATAGACATAAAAACTACGAAAAACTAAGGAATCATGGCTACAATATTATCACTCTTCTGCTTCTATAAATAATAGATTGCTACACGACCATTATGTTTAAATACTCAGCGTAACTTCTTAAAGTCTCGCACGATTTTTCTCCTCTTTCCAAAGAAAATTCTGAACATATTTGGACCGCGTTAAGCAGAAAGGAACCAAGCCACTTAAGATGTTGTCAAATGTAATTGGGCATTTTAATTTCTTACAAAAGAACGTTTGTGCGGAATCCTTTGAAAATTTTAATGAATTCGCTTCGTACTATGTAGAAAATCCACTAAAATTGGAACTAAAATCCGCACCACCGTTGTCATGTAAAAATTAAAGTGCCGAGTTAAACTTGGCGATAGCTGGTGTGGCTTGGTTCCTTTCTGCCCAACGCGGTCCATTTCAAGGTATGATTTTGATTTGTTCTGCCTTAAAAAGATAAAATAGGAGCGGAGATTGTTAAACTCCGCAAACGAGATACGTGGTTTGGGAGTTGCGCCGTCGATACAATGAAATCACGAAGGGTCGCTGAAATATCCAAATCTGCTGGCATCGCAGAGGTTTTCCCTTTTCTTTTCTTCCCTTTATTTCACTCAAGCATGAGTCCTCTATCCCGTCGAATTCGAACTCGGGGAACTAACGCCGCGCCGCGCCGCACCGCTCGGTTATAAAACTTACTCCCGTAATTTATTCCAATATTTTAAGGAAGTTTGAAAGACTTATTGACTTTATCGGGCGGGAATACGAAAGCTATCAGCTGTCGCGAGACAGAGAGTCCAAGTAAATTATCAATGGGTTCTTTTCGGGACTCTCCCGATCCTCTTATCGCCCTTTCCTGCGACTTGAAGCACGCCCTCAGCCCACTCGCGCCATTCTCAGCGATCTCGCTTTGTCTCCACGTCAGCATTCGTGAGTTCTTCCAACTCGCATGAGAATCCACTCAAAAAGTAGCTGCGCATATCTGCCGTGCTAGCAAAGAGAGCAGTAAGTATCAAATTTTCGAAATCGAGTTTCCGCCAAAATCCGTCTAAATTCTTTTAGACCATGGTGTCTAGTTTTTTAAAAACCGGGATTCATCAGGGAATGAAAATTTACCGGGAAAATCAGGGAATCTGTTCCAGATACCAGGAATCTCTTTCATTGGCCTGATAATATCAACATCAGGAACATTTTTTTATTAAAATTTTGAATGTGCACCAAAGAAATGGCTGTATGATTAATTACAATCTATATTTATATCTGAAATTCTAGAAAATTATATTCTTTTCCCCAAGAAAATCCCGGGAAAGTGGGAGAAAACTCTGGTTTCTCATCGGGGAATGAGCTCCTAAAAATCAGGGAATAATCAGGGAATGAGCTTTGCCAAGAAAACTACACACCATGTTTTAGATGAAATCACTGGAATAGCTAAAACAGCAAAATTCATCTAAATTGTATCAAAACTAGACACATGAGAAAGCCGTCAGTGCGCAAAAAATGACGTAGTTTTAAGCAAGACAGCAGCAAGTGGCAATATTCCTCCAGAGAGCCAATGAAAACATTGCCTTCAAGTAAAATGCCGCCCTCTCCTGCGAGTTTCTAACCTGAAAATGTGTTTGTCGTGTGTCCAAAACGCAACCACGAAAGCATGCAGAAGATAACATTTCCGGCTTTCCTGCCGAACAATAACCGAGCATGAACATGAAAAATGCCCTTTTTATGTAATTGAAATAAAATCAATCGATATACATTTATTAATTTGTAACCTCCGGTTTATGAGATATCGTGGTAGTTCTTTAGGGCTGGGAAAGTCGAATTTTGATTGAAATCGCGCTTTTCCCAGGGAATCTGCAGTTATCTTAAAAACGACAAGTTTGAGGGAAAAAATTGTACCCTCAATTCCTAAATAATCCAGTTGAATTTTTAGTTTGTTAAAGGTCAATTTCGACAGTTTTCATAGAATTGGCCTAGTACGTCCACGCCGACCGGCGCGGCGACCGCGCGCACTGTGTTTGGTGCAATACGTGAAGTATTCATGCACTCTTGTAGGCGTTAATATACTTTCCGCGCCGCCGGCCAACGACCGCACTCGCACTGTGTTTGGCGCAATGCGTGAAGTATTCCTACAGTCCTGTAGGCGCTAGTATGCTTTTTGCGCCGACCAGCGACCGCACTGTTAATCATCCACGCATCGTGAAATCATTCTGTTACTCAGATGAAATCTTGAGAAATGGGTATGTGTTGATAAGCTAAAGAATTAATGCCTTTATGATAAGGATTGATAATACTCGTCACGTTTAAGACTCATCACCATTGTATCTTAATTTACTCTGAATTTGTTTCTTTCTTCATCCTTCTTCTCATTTGTATTTATTTTTTCTGCTTCCAGGATTATCCCAAAGAAGCTGTCACTCATGTACAGAGTTTTTTAATGAAAAATGAAGTACCAGTTAATTTATTCGAGGTAATTATCTCTTCTCTGTTTTAGTAGTTAAGTTTTTCAAAACATCATTTAGTTTGGTTATCCTCCTCCTTTTGCATTATCAGAAATTGAGACGTCTTGGAAAGTCCTTAATTTTTGAAAATTCGCCAAAATATATTTTGATCGCAGCTTTGAGAAAATTTGTAATTATACAACATATTTTTGAAATTGCTCAAATGCTCTTGAATTTTACATTATCTGGTTCATTTTTTTTCGTCCGTTTGAAAGATTTAGATTTTTTTCCATTGCCATGAAAACCTCCAATATGTTATTTACAAATTCTTCATCTTAACTAGCTCAGATTTGAAAGCCTAATTAAATATTTCAGAATTCTATCGAAGTGTTTTAATTTTAATTTCTTTTTATTTATAATTGTCTATATCTTATTTTTTTTCTTCCAGCCTTACATTAATGAAATTTATAATCATTTAAGAGGCGAACCTTTCAAAAAATTTCTAGAAAGGTATGTATTTCTGATTTCTTTATTCATTTCCCTCTTAAAGTATTTAGATTTAATTGCAGAATTTATTAGTTAATTCTCCTAAGAATTCAAATTTTTAGCCACAAGTTTTCTTTCTTAATAAAAAAAGAAATGTGCATGAAAGCTTCGCAGTTTTTAGACTGCTTTATGGAAGTTGTTGTCATACTTCCTTGTCAGTACCCACCCAGTCATTGTGTGTTGTTTTCATATCTGTCTCACAAAAATAATTAAGTTAACAGAAAATTAATGAGTTTATAGTGACTTGAAAATTGGGTAAAAGCTCAAAAGTAATGGTAGACGTTTGAAATTATTGAGATATTTTTTAATGACCACCCATGCCAATGACTCACATCAAGTGTCAGATTCAACATGGCGTATAAGAAGTTTTTCAGCCTTTAAACTATAAAATTTCTAATCTGAAATTTTGTTTATTTTTCCAGTGATAAATATACACGATTCTGCCAATGGAAAAATCTTGAATTGAATATTCAGGTACGTAGCTTCTTGGTCAATTCAATATTCAGTGATTTTTCAATGGAAGGAAAATATGTTCCTCTGTCTTCCAATCATGACATTAAGATAGGAAGTCGAAATACTTTCCAGAGTCTTTTGCTGTATTTTTAGAGGAAATATTGTGTCTTTTAGATTTTTTTTTTTTTTTTCTTTTTTAATGATCATAAATATTAAAGATATCAATCTACAATTAGTGAATAGTTAAAAGACAAAGTAACTTATTTCAAGAACTCATTTTCAAAAGAAAATGAAAAAAATTTTTTTTTTAAAAGATTAAACACAACCCCTGCGTAATTTAGGTTCAAGGAATTGACTTAAATTGATAATAATTCAGGAAACTAATGTTTCACCAATCGTTCAGTAAAATTATTGTCAGTAAGACAAATTATTTCAATGTTTGAATGTTTATAAACAAAGTGATTTTGTTTAATTTGTGCTGGCTGAAGTATGGGTGTCTTTTAGTTTTTAGGCTCGAGACATGACTAGGTTTTTTTGAAGTATCTCATGCTCCATCTTTTCATTTTCAAATGCATCTCCAATTCAATCTCATCATGTGAATTTTCCTTATGTAGTCGTTGATACAAACTAAGGAAGCCAAGAGTGGACTGATTGAGTTGATGCCGCCTCTGACAATGTAGATAAACTTCATCTGGAGATTTCTATGATCATTACACTCACTTTGGGCTGCAGGTTAACCTGTAGCTAGTGGCCATGTCCCTGGAATTCGACCAGCCTTAATGTTTGTCAAATTTGTGTGGAATATTAAATTCTAAAAAAAGTGGAGTAAATGGTCAGTAATAAAATAGCATTCAGACTAGATAACGTAAGGGCTTTTTTGTCCAACTGTCGATGAAAACATACAAATTCATGGTCAGTTCCTTTTTAAAACAGTTGGTACAAACCTACTGCAGTAGGTCCTTTTGCTTGTTCCTTAATTAGAAGTCGATACAGTCTAATTTCTTAATCAAGTATTCATACTAATCAATGATGTTCTTATGATTTCAGTTAACAATGAATGATTTTAGTGTTCATCGAATAATTGGCCGAGGTGGTTTTGGTGAAGTTTATGGTTGCCGTAAAGCAGACACGGGTAAAATGTATGCAATGAAATGTTTGGATAAGAAACGGATTAAAATGAAACAGGGTGAAACTCTTGCTTTAAATGAAAGGATCATGTTATCTCTAGTCAGCACAGGCGTAAGTTTATATTTTTATAATTATCAAATTTTATTTCTAATTTTTGAATTTTTAACCCACTTACCACGAAATATGTCAAGTAGCAGTGTGTGTAATTTTGTTTTTTTAAAGTTTGTCGCTGAGCTTTAGAATTAGCTTCATGAATAACCACACATCTGTTGGAAGTGCTGTTCGCTGATTCATTCTTTCTATTTTTTACTTGGTATATATTCATCTAAAATAAAGACAACTTACCAGAGGAGCCGCTGAGTAAGAAGAAAAATGAATAGCCCCAACAATTAAATCTTGTTAATGTTAAAATTTGAAATGAATTTGGAGTCATTTTTTCGTCTGACTGCCAGCTTCACTCACCTAACCGGTGAGGGACAAAAAATTCTGCAATCCATTGTAGTTTTTCCACTTCTTGCAAGTAATTTGATTTGTATCACACACATCACACACACCCTCTCTCTTTCTCTCCCTCCCTCTTTCTACAAATGTGTGTAACTTGTAAGTATCATGATAATATCCTGTTATCATCTAAAGTTTTTAAACTTTCTTTTTTTTTTCAGGAGGATTGTCCATTCATAGTCTGTATGACCTATGCTTTTCATACGCCTGATAAGTTATGTTTTATTCTTGATTTAATGAATGGTGGGGATCTTCACTACCATTTATCCCAACACGGTGTGTTTAATGAACAAGAAATGAAGTTTTATGCTGCCGAAGTAATTTTAGGTTGGTACTAATTTTCCTTGTATGCAGATTGGCATTGCCCCACACATTTGATAATCTTACCTTAGCCATTTAAGTCCTGAAAACTCTAATCATTATTTGTGTAGCCATTATATCAACTTCTTTTCTTCTTAAATGAGGAATTGAGCGGCTTGATGGACATGGCGCACAAGTGCAGTTTTTGAAAAAATTGAGATATCATTGATTTCAACTGAAACTAGTCTTGAAATATACTCTGTGAAAAATTCGCTCCCAAATTTCAATTTTTAAGCATCAAAAAGTCAGTCTGAACTTTTTCTTCATTATGAGGATCCATGTAATTTTGAAACTTCAAACACGCATTTTTTAAAATAGCAAAAACTGCACTTATGTGCCTTGTCCTGTAAGCCCCTCAATTCTAAAACTGGGAAGATTATAATCATGGAAGCCAATTTTTATGGATAAGCAGGCGGCTGATTGAAATGCAGCATTTACTATTCTACTGCTTTAAACAAGATCTTTACGGAACTCCACTCCAATTTTTAAGACTTTTTTAGACAGAATGCTGTACAAGAAGAAAGCCTAAGCATGTGCATTTTTACAATGTGTGCTGTTCTGCGCTCCAAAATCATTGGAATTTTAAACACTTCACTCTTTAATCAATTTATACAATTATCTTTCTTTCATTGTGCCAATCAAGGTAAGCAGAGCATCGAGTTCTTCCCTGAAATCGGCGCCTTTCCTTCAGAAGTGCTGCGTTCTTTTTTGCATTAGCGGCTCACTGTTTTTTACCGATCCTAGTTTCATCCGATTTTACCTGAATTTTTCAAAAGCTCATTTAATATTTTTCTGTTCGTAGGTTTAGAACATATGCATAAGAGATACATCGTCTACAGAGATTTGAAACCTGCCAATATTTTATTAGATGAACATGGTCATGTTAGAATATCAGATCTTGGTCTTGCCTGTGATTTTTCAAAGAAAAAGCCTCATGCCAGTGTGTAAGTTATCCGCCTTAATCATACTATTTATTTTAAAAAAATTTTTTTCCTTGAAAAATTTGTATGGTTGTAAGGAAGTAACTGAAAAGTAAGAACTTTTTGATCAACAATGAGAATTGCGTTTTAAAAATACATAACTATTATTACCAAATTAAATTAACTCAGCTAAAAATAAATTTAATTTTTTTAGGTACATTTCAAAGAAAAATTGACCAATTTAAAATTAGACTCATTCACGAGTACAATATTAAATTTTAATGGATTTCATTTGAGCATTCCATTGCTCAATGAATTGATGCCATGATTTTTGTAGGAACTTGAGTTTGAAGGAATTTCCTCAATTTGTGGAAGATAATTTTATATTTCCATGGATGGAAAATAGTATGTATTGAACTAACTTCTTGATGTTTTGTTTTTCAGGGGAACTCATGGTTATATGGCACCAGAAGTTTTATCAAAAAATACACCTTATGATTCTAGTGCAGATTGGTTTTCGTTCGGTTGTATGCTTTACAAACTTTTAAAAGGGCACAGTCCCTTTAGACAACATAAAACTAAAGACAAACATGAAATAGATCGTATGACTCTAACAATGGTAAGGAATTTTTCCCAAGGAAGAAATTTTGCTTCTTTTGCTGTGTAGTACTACAAAAAGGATGCTCAATTTATCGTAGTAAAGAGACTGTTTTGTACGCCATCAATTTTTCTAAGAGAATCAAGTCTAGTCGTTCGGTGCTGCGGTTCAATAAATGTGGACCACAATAATTTTAGCATCAAAAGGAGAGGACATTGTTGTGCTCAAACATTTTATCGTTTGTTCTTATTTTGCGGGCTAATATATGGGAATAAGGCCTACCCACTTTTTTTAAAATTTTATTCATGTGCAGCTGGCCACTATATTGCTTTAGATTGTTTGTTCACCGGTTTGCTCAGCGGATTTGTGATAATAACCAGAATTAGGTTCCTACCCAATTTTTGACTGATTTTCATCGTATTTGCAGTTGGGGAGGAGACTTGGACAGCTCAAAATGTCCTGTTTTTTTCTTTATTTCTTTCTTTAATTTTAGCCTTGCTTACCCATTTTTTCAGTTTTTTCTCTTTTGCTATCCGAGTTTTTAAGCATATAAATTTAAAATAAAAATCAGTAATCATATCAAACAGATGGCTCTTGAAAATCAGTATTACATTTCATCAAGTTGGCACTTTAATTTTCGATTTATTATAGTATCAATAGTGTATGAAGCTCACCATGATTTTATTTATTCCTTTTAGTAACTTCAATGCGTTCTTCTATTTTTGTCTGTATATTTCTTTTCATTTTCAAATTGTTCCTGCCTAAATTTTAATTCATACAGATCAATATTTCTTTTCTCTCTCTTTGTTTGCTTTAGAATGTCGAACTGCCTGATTCCTTTTCTAAAGAATTGAGAAATCTCCTAGAATCACTTTTACAGAGAGACATTGATAAACGACTAGGCTGTCGAGGATCTGGGTGAGTGCACATTTCACACTTCTGCACTTTCACACTTCTGTTTTGTAACGGAGCTGTGGTCTGCATTCAACATGATTAAGTTTTATTTAGAAGATTTCAGTCTCAATCATCTGCCGTAAATTATTAGTGAACAAAATTTCCAGATGCAAAGTAAAATTAAAATTTTTTTTCTATTAGAAAATCAGTGTTAATCATGAAAGGAAGTCCCAATGAAATAAAATTGCTATACGTAAAACTACCTGACGCTTTTTTCTCAGTCGCTAAGAGTTCACTGTCTTTCTTGGGCTTTCAGCTGTTCATTAGACGTCCAAGATCCCATTATGTGAATGATTGTTTTTTGCCATGAGCGAACCACGCATCATCAACCTCTAATGATTATTTCCCTAAATATTTTTTACCAAAGCTAAGCATAGAATCAATAAAACAGTTTGTTGAAGATGAATTTTTGACTTGATTTTTCAGAGCCGAGGAAGTCAAGCAGCATGCATTTTTCGCCGGTATGGACTGGCATCAAGTTTATGTTCAAAAATATACACCGCCCCTAATACCACCAAGGGGGGAAGTGAATGCAGCCGATGCTTTTGACATTGGATCCTTTGATGAGGAAGACACCAAGGGCATCAAGGTAATTTCTCCTGATTTCATGTCAATGCAATTGAAACTCAACTATTTGAGTGAGGATTTTTTAATCTCAATTTGGCATTGAGAGCCAGGCTGAAATTCTTGGAAATTTCTCACCACAGACTAATTGGAATGAAACTAAACTCAGAAAAAAAGGCAGATATGTATTCATTTGATACAGTTGTTTCTTGTTTTAGCATTACTCAAAGTAACATTTTTCCGAAAACAGCATTTTAATTTTAATTCCTCCTCAAAAAAATTATTGCAACGTACAACTGCACTTACTATTCATCTACCTTGGCGTTGTAACTCAATTTTTTTGTTCATCCAATTTTTTTAAAACAGAAACTGCAAATTGATTATTGAAACTTATTCCCTCTTATCCTCCATTGTTATTTGTTGATCAGGTTTCAGTAATTAGCCTGATAGGTGTTTTCCAGTCAGTTTAAAATCTCAAGGCTTTACTATTAGTGTTAAACAAATTGACGGTGAAACTGCAAAAATGCATAGCTTGGTTACAGTAATTCAGAATCTCCAATCCTACTTTATTTTTTAAGAGGAGATTAAGTCAGCATCTTGGCTTGAAATTTTCATACAATATTTATCTCATAGGAAAGAAAAATCTTAAAATTTTTCAAGAAATTACGTCCAATAGTTTTCCTTGTAGAAAATAGAGTATAACGGGAAGTCTGCATTGCCGCAAAGCAAGATACACATTTCTGCAGTTTCATCATCGGAATGTTAACTGGCACTGTTTCGACAACATCATCGTCATACGACTTCCATGGAAGTTATAGCAGATTTTGAGAGGATATTATGCATTTATACTTAATATCATCGAAGTATCATGTAACAAACCTCATAATCTCATTCATTCAAATTGTATGCCAGAAATATTCCATGTATCAATGATAAATGTAATTCTATTTTTTTCTCATTTCTAGTTAACTGACGCAGACCAAGAGTTGTACAAGAATTTTCCTCTTGTGGTGTCTGAGAGATGGCAGAATGAAATAGCAGAAACAGTTTTTGATGCTATCAATCAAGAAGCAGACAAAATGGAACAGAAAAAGAAGGCTAAACAGAAGCAGAGATTTGATACTGATGAAAAAGGTATTTTTCTCTTCTCTTCTTTTTCTTCTCCAATTGTATAATGCGTTGGTAAATGTTTGTAATATTGCGAGAAAGGCCTTTTTATATACTCAGACCATTCACTTATTCAGAGGCGTTTTTTAAATAAGTATGAAATTATACACACAGTAGAACAATGCAGCAGTTGAAAATTTCGGATAATCGAAACCACCTAAAAAGACTGAAAAAGTGCTGCCATTCCAAGCCCTGCAACCGAAAAGCACAAGTGTGGCCATCATTTTATTTCATACGTAAAACAAGAGTCTTTTATGTGGAAAACAATGCAAAAAATCACTAATATTTTCAATATTTGCCCAAATAACCGGGTCTTGTCACAAATCATTTCGTCTCTGGAAATGCCACGTCTCAGTGTTGAAAGAATCGTGTCGGACAATGGAGGATCTTCTGTACTTAAATTTTTGCAAAAACTTTTGACTGAGGAATTCTGTATGAGGAATATGAGATAATGGTTTGGTATGTTGTTACAACACTCTTATTAAGTCTGAAACAACAATAATTTCTGTTTCGCTACTGGTCTTATCATTCATAATTTCTCATTTCTACATTTGTACTTTAAGGCTGGTAAAAATTTTTCAGAATTTTTCCTGTGCATGCTTTGTCTTCTTCATTCACATCACTTAACAATGTAACCAAACTGAATGTACCACTCTTGCAGTTCGATGGAGTGGTTCATTATAACAACTGTTGTGCTAATCAGAGTTATGGTTTGTTTGTTTACAGAGTCAGATTGCATATTACATGGATACATAAAAAAATTAGGTGGACCTTTTGCTTCAGCATGGCAGACTCGATACGCAAAACTTTATCCAAATAGGTTAGAACTCCATCCTGAATCCATGTCATTAAAACCAGAATTAGTTTTCATGGATCAATTAGAAGAAGTATCAGCAGACTTAGTGACAGTAAAAAATGAGCAATGTATAGTCTTAAAAACGAAAGATGCCAAAATTGTACTGACTAATTCGGTAAGTCCCTTCAGTTCATTTTTCATCTCCACTGTATTGGTTTGAAGTTACACTTGTTGTTAATATCAAGTTGAGTAGTTGTGCGCAGCATTTCGGCTTATTCAGTCAAGAATGAAGAACTACTTTAAAACCTTCATATAATGACCTTCTGTTCAACAACTTTTTTAATGTAAAGACAATTTCTGCTTGTACGATAGAATCGCAATACTAGCAATGTTTTTTTGTTTTAAGATAGCTTTGCTGCAGCAAGTCTAGATTCAATATCCGATGATTGCATCAACTGGTGACGCAGATAAAGCTTCTTTTTGTGGAAAGCCAGGGAAATATTCCACCATCTCTAGCTGCAATGTTTGCCTAAAAAATTGCTTTCCAGGGATGAGGTATTCAGAAGCAGATTCCCTTACCTTCATTTTTCAATGAGTTGTCAATGACATGTATGCATTCAGCCAGATTTGTAGCAAAAATATCGTCTAATAGTGAGTACCAGGTGGATTGTTAAAATGAATTTTTCCATTGGGTACGACAAGTCTAAGGTCTAAACGAGTTGTATGATTTGTCAGCTGTGGCTTATGAGCTTGCGAATCTCTTTTTCTTAAAAATTTATGAGTTAGTTAATAAATGAGCTGATGGCACCCCTTCGATGATGGAAAGGTCAATTTATCGGCCTGATGAAGGCAGAGGAAAGTGGGATCGGCAAGCTCATACTCCGCAACAGACCATTCTCTTGTCTTCATTACTTTAGAGGCTTGGGACAGTCATGCTTTCTTTGGAGTACTTCCCTCTCATATTCTTGTGGATTGCATTGTGTGTTTAATTCATTTTTGTTGTAAAAAATTTTGTATTGTTTTGTCTCTCAGTTTTTCTTAGTATCTCTAGATTTATAATGACTATGTATCTTAAATTTTCAGGATGAAATTGGATTAAAAGAATGGGCGTTATCTCTAAGATCTGCTCACAAATGTTCGTTAGAGCTCTTGGGTAATATGGCAAAGAAAGCTGGTAAAATTTATGGAACAGAGTTGGATTCAGTAATCGCACCTAGATCAACCAATGGAAACTGAGCGAGGCTAGAAGTGTTACTCCTACCCTCCTTGATGATTAGTTTCCATTCTTCTATGCATTACAGAAGTCTGAAAAATAACGAAACTGAGAAATGTTCGACCCAGGAAAAAATATTTCACATAATTAATAGGAAATTTTTTATCCTCTCTTTTTTTTCATAATTGTGATTTTAAGTATTAAGTTTTAACTCTTTGTATTATCATTATCATGGTTATAATTTTTATTTTTATTACTAATAAGCTTTTCCTTCTCTTTTTTACGATTTATACTTTACTTAATTTTTCAGCTGTTAATTTTTTGAGGAAGTAGCCGCACGTCTTATCGTGTATCTATTCTTTCCTCAAAGGAGTTTGTCTCTGAGCATACAGTATTTTAGTTAACTGCATTTCTGTTGTCGGTAATCAAATTTTTTTACCTAATCTTCTCAATCACTTTTTACTGTAGTGTTTCTTCATTCATCAAACCAACTCATAGCTTAGTTTTGAACGATACTGTCTACTTTACAAGTAAACTTAAATGATCATCACATTTGATGGTCGCATCTGTGATAGTGAATTTGCTATATTTTTGAGAGAATTTTCAGGTCGGTCATGCTCTCAATTTTCCATCTTATTTCAGATCTCTTATTTAATGTTGGAAAAACATCATGCAGACAACAACAAACATGAAAATTTTTCAAATTTGCTCCAAATTGGAGTTAATATCTTGTCTCTCTTGCCCTTAAGTTTTAGTTATTCGTTAAAAATAGTTTATGAGAATCATATTACCTCTGTTCATGTGTCAAACTTGTTGCATAATCATACACCACTGCAATTTTCCCCCCTATCTTCTCTCAAAGTGTATAATGAATGGTTTATTTGAAGATTAAACAATTCATTTTCATTTTACATTTTGCCAATTTTTTAGTTTTTAATACATAAACGGCCAAATTTGCCCTTATGAATTAACAAAATGCATCTAATTTACAAACAGATGAAGAAGAAACTGTCCATCTCACAGCAATTCCAGTAAGACATGAAAATATCAACAAGATCATCTGACTCAATTTTTCTCTATCTTTTGGCCAACTGCATCCGGTATTCTTGGTAAATAATCACGGTTTTTAATAGCATCAGAGATGAATCATGAGTGTCATTGGACAGAGTTGCTTTTTTGGCAACCCTTCATTGTTGAAACATACCTATTTTAAGTGCCTTGAATTGCATCCCTTACTTTGGTGTTTAACACCCCTGTCAAATCTTTATTTTGCCTTCTTTATTTTCGATGGAAATGATGAGGAAAGGTTGACCAAAGTTCAAAACTGTCATCTAGATTAATTTTGGCAATCTAACCTCATAGCTCAAAAGAAAGTTTTTCTTTTATTTTACAAATTTACACAATTGTAATTTAGCATAATCTATGGAAGAGCCTGTCTCAGCCTTGCTGAACATTTTAATTCAACTGGTAGAGATGTAGTTGTGACAAGGAAGTTTTTACTCTATTCAGGAGGGTTGTCTAAAAAGTTAGTTTCTACCTTTTTTTTCTTTTTCTTGCAATTATCACAGCTTGGGCAAATCCATAAAAGCAGTATTATAGATGGATAAGCTTCTAATGAATTAAAGTTATTAAAATTTGCCCTCTTGGCGATGAGAAATCACAGTTTTTTTGTGCACACCTCTTTGCTCAATGGTGCTAAATCATTGTGCTGGGAGCTTAGGCATTACCAACGCAATAAAAGGGATTCGTAGTAAATGAAAGAGCTAAATGCATGGCATTTTACATAAAAATGACTATGTCACCTCGTATTTTTACATAGTCTCTTTTGATAACCAAGCATTTTTGCCACTGTGAAATCAGCTTGGTTGTGATGCAATGATGGTTACCTATGTCATTTGTGACACTAGTGGTATGTCTTGATCGCTGTTCATTGTGAACAGGTCTTTTATGAATGGAACCTGCGTCTTGGCGCTGTTTGCATTCTCTTGCGTTGAATTCTGTAAATTTACTTCAATTCCAATTTAGACCCACAAAGCACCGAAGTGCACTCAAACTAACTATGATTTTTCAACACCCAAAAATCCAATTTTAAAAAACTTTAGCTTGTTGGAAACCCAAGGATACTAATTTTAAGCCAGATTTGCTTTAACTGTATTTTTTGTTGTACAGAAATAATTTAGAGGGACTAACTTTTGAAACAACTCTCATAAACTCTTGAATGGAAAACATTCGAAAAATATCCAGTTTCCAAATTCCAACTTCAATACCAGTGGCATTCAACATCAGGTATTTTTTGACGGTTAATTCTTACTTTTACAAATTCTCAATAGTCATTAATATAAAATTCAAGAATATCCTAAAATGTCTAACAGATAGATAGAAAATGTCATTTTTCATGTAAAATCCCCCCTTGTTTCTTCCAAAAATAGTCCTAATCATTAGAGAACCTGAATTGAGAAACCTAGTTCGCAGATTCATTCAATTTGCTAGAGGCCCAATCATTGTTTAGTTTTACCAAGATTACTGCATTTACTCCTGACTGTGTGAACTTATTCTTTTTTATCAGTCACTTAAGTTGGATTATCCATGCAAGGATCAGAACTTTAATTTTTTTACTGTGATCTTTTAACGACAGGAAGGTAAAATTTTAAATAGATTGGCCCAATTTGAATGTATTTTACTTGTAGCAATCAAGCATAATTACTGTTTAAAAGTTCAAGAAGTGTCTAGCTGTTCAAGAAAAAACCATTGTTATTTTTTGTCTTAGTTTGTAAAGAGCTGTTCAAGAGAATCCCGGATAGTGAAATTGCAAAAATGCCTATCTCGTTTGTTGTGTTCCAAAATCTCCTCGTTCATTTTATTTTATCCAAGGAGGACGAACCAACAACTTGAAATTTGCATAGAGTACTCCTCATACAAAGAGGACAAACAGGAAAGTTTTAGAAAATTCAGGGTTGGTATTTTTCTTTATAGAAAATGAATCATGACACGAAGTCTGTAACGCAGAAAACTGAGATAAGCGCTTTTGCAGTTCCATTCTCGTCCAGTATCTTCAGGTTTTTTCAGATGGTTACAGAGACTCATCTGTAATCTATATTTTGTAATTTTCTTAATTCCTAAATCAGCAAAATTTTAAGACCTATGAAAAACAGTGAACCTATCTTTGAAACAGATGTTTCCTCATTAACAAGGGGCCTGAGTTAAAAAGATATATTCTTTTACAGTTGATAAATAATGATTTTTGTATTAACTATTAATACAAATAATTTCTTTTTCGTATGATCGATTTGGGAGAGCTTCCTACTAATTAATGCACAATGGAGAGAATAATCTAACTTTAGTTCTGAATTTTGTTTTTTTTTTGTTTTGTTTGAAAAACTTTATTCATTTCTAATCCACTGCTAAAATAACTTAAAGTTTTTAATTTCTTAAGTCTATTAATCACACAAATTCATTTTTCCATTCACCAATTTTCTTTTTAATATATCCAAAGCTTTTTCCATGTTCTATTATGATGGTTGGCTTCTAATGTAATAGATCTGAAGGTTTCCTTGAAAATTATAAATCCATCTTGTGCAATGCACACATTAAAAAAAACACAACTTTGGTTATTTCACCAATATTTGCTTTATAATTATTATTTGCACCTATAAATTTTCATGTAGGCCAATAAATCAAGTTTAGACTAAAAGCTCGATTTTTCGGGAATTTTCAAGATAGCCCCTACTTACATGTATTTAACGTAAGGCAAACTTGCGTATGTACCATGTGATGCCTTGATGTCACATACTTTAGAGGTGAGGGAAAGGATCCGTTTCAAATCTCTTTTGACTTTAGGGAGTTTTTTCTCCAAGTTACTATGACTGGAAATTTTGTTAAAAATGTCTCAAAAAACCTCAAAGTTTCAGAAAGTGAATTTAAAAAATTTCATGTAACCCGAGGTAATAAGAAAAGAAAAGGTGGAAAAAAATTGCCAATAGTGGCTGCTATTCCTAACAAACAGTTTGTATTACCCAAGTACAAAATTCAATTTTATGCAAATAATTCAGGAAATTCCTTATTGCAAAAAAAAAAAAAAAAATCCGCAGTAAAAATGTCTTATATCAAACGTTTCAGTCTTGAGTGACCAGTCTTACGTGAAAATGGATTCCATTAATTTGTGAAGTATAAATTAACTATGAAAAGTCAGTGGATGGTGCAAAATTTCAGGTGCGCAAATTTTCCTCAAGTTCTGAAAAGATAAAAAAAATTTATTGTTCTCTTTTTTAAGTTGATGTACTTTAAAAATATTTATTTTTCGTTGGGATGTGGAATAATATGGATGCAATAAATTAAACAAATATTACTCTTTTTTAAACTGCTTTTACCTCATATTTTGCAATAGTGGAGAAATTTTCAACGAATAGGTACATACATTAATTAATTTATTTATTTATTTATTAATTTATTTTACTTTTTTATTTATCCTCTTTGATCCTTAAATTTAATTTAAAACTGTTTTATGTGATTTATTGCTGTTTTATTAGCAAGGGTGTTTTACTCAATTATTTGTTATTGTCATCTCTGTTTAATTGTTCACTCAGTGGCAGATATTCGTAGATGGCCTTAGTTTAAAACTTTAGCCAAAATTTTTATGTCTGGTTCTTAAAATAACCTCAACTCTCTCAGTTGCTTTTTTCTTGTTTCTATATCCTCTCAGATCATAAAAGAAATAGATTGCTCTCTGCTGAGTTACTGTTTCTCTCAGAAAAATGCCCCATTACTTATCTTTTGTTTCATAGGACTCCGTTTGTAGATTGAATGATAATTTGTCTAGTTTACCCCATGGATGCAAGGAATTCAAAACACAGGCATCCAAAGCAGTTTGAAATCCTATGTTTCTTCCTCACCGTCTCAGGTGCCTCTAATTTTTTTGTCACCTGACAAACCTAAAAGCCTCAGTTTCTATTCGTGGAGTTTATAATTTCCTCTCAATCCTAAGATTTTTTCACGCTTTCCGCATTTTGCTTATCGCAAGGTACAACATTTTTGGCACCTTTGGTATACCCAAAAAACTGACTTTTTCGGCAATCAGTCGAGCATTTTACAAAAAAATTCAGTTTTCTTTAGTTTCTGCATTTAACCTCCCATTATTTGAAAAAATCTGGTAATCTGATGAAAAGTAGGACCTCCAGTACTGCCGTGCTATGATAGAATACCTTATGAGCCTTCAGATGCCGCATAATTCCTTTGCTTAAATAACAGGTTTCTGGGGAAACGTATTCTCTTTCCAATTTTACAGAGAATCTAATTGCAATCTAAATCTAATGGAGCTTGGAACTTCAAGGGAGATTATTCATAACTTTCGTAAAAAATAAATATTCTACTGGGAGAAATTTGGCATTATCCTAATAATCATACAATGGTTTTCCTCAACATGATAGAATAGGTTTGAGTCATTGTCAAGAGGGAGGCTGTGTATACTGAGAAAAAAGAAAATTGGCATTCTTCTGATCAATCTTCTGCCAAGATGCTATTTTTCAATTGCTTCATGCCGCATCTTCATTCGCAAAGTTTTTATCTTCCTGTTTTATTTACACATTGTGTAATGTGTAGTAATTTGGTGCTACTTTGGGGCTGGTCTGAGTTTAGTAAGTAGAATCAAGGTTGGAATCAAAGTGTCTCGCCTATTTGGTACACCCTGAACAAGTATAAGTTTTATGTAGGGCCGTTATTTGATTTTTTATCGATTTTAACCATCAAAACAAACAATACAATATCAAAACTAAAAATTTATGTCAGATTTAAAAATTTTTTTTAAATTTTTAAAATCTTAGAGGACTACTTTACCTTTGTAACACATTCATGTCAAGAAAAGACAACATTTCAACATACATTTCATCATTGCGTATGATAGGGTAATATCTCAGTACCTCTAGGTTGCGAGTTCATTTCCAGAAATTTAGTTCATTCCGAGTGTTTTCCTTAAGTCAGCTTTATATGTCATGAAATCCAAGCCAAGTGTACAATATTTTTCTCTCTCAAAATGTCCAAAGCCTCTAACTTCCTTAAATGGTGGACTTTCCCTTTAGCTACAAATCAAGTTTGCACTCATGCCTTATCTGAGAGATTTACCTGTGAGAACGTATGACACCAGAAGAATTCCAACCTTGTAAAAAACCAGTCCCAGTAAAAATATTCCCCCTTTGATCGGCTTATTATGTAAAAGGTCTGTGCAATTGTGTCAAGTATTAGCAGGCTATTCATCATTGTGGCCGTATTTTTTAGAGAATATTTGTAGGGTAGCAAATACACCAATGTTGTTGGTTCATGTGTGTGAAAAATCTATCCTACTCATCAAATGCCGGACGGCTCACTAATCTGCTTGAACCTACATAATTTTTATGGTTGATAGAACTGTGTATTGTGTTTCATGTCATTGCGGAAGGTTTTTGTCCTGTAAACTATACAGTCACAATATTCAGTTAACACATTATATCTTGTGGCATAAGCTCCTTTCATCAGAAAATGATATGGACTCCATTCTGCAGTAGGGAAATAAAATTTTTGGCTCATTTGACAAAAATGGCATTTGTGTCACTAATTTCCCTATGTGGATCAGAGGCTGTTTTTTTGTTGGTGAGCCAAAATTAGTAGTTCCTAATTGCAAAATATAGTCCAAATGATCTATTCAGTATCCCTTTTCTGCAACTTCTAACTATGAGATGTGTTGAAGCTCTTTCACCTTGAAATGAGTATGTACTTACTTATCTGTGTAAAATTTTGACAGCTCTGCTCTCTTTTTGTGCAAAAAGAAACATTTTTGAATTCTTGCTTTCCAGTTACAAATCTGTTGAAATTAGTGGGAAGCAATCAAAGCCTAGTTTTCAATGAATGTCTAATTGTAAGCTTATTATGGCAATAACAACGGACTTATCTCATCTTTTTTCTTCTCTCCACTGAACATTATTTGACAATTAATTTTTTTTTATTAAATTAATTAGACCACAGTTTTCAATGATGTACTGAACGATCCATTTTGCTCAGTCTTCATGCTTCAGTCTTTTTTAGTCGGAAGACATGAAGATCTAGACTTTTACCATCCATGGTCATTCTGCTTATTCTGCAAATTACTTACTTAACTGCGTTAACTAACTGAGGTAAATGGTAAGTGCCTTACATTCATTGAATAACAGGTTTTCCAAGAAAAGACAATTTTGCAATGCCATACGTAATGTGTTGGATCCCTCTGCTCAGTGTGATGAACCAATTCTGTTTCTTTACTTGTGCTTCGTGTCAAACGTATCTTCTTTTGAAGTTTGTGAAAAAGATATTGTTTCACTATCTTGCCTCTAATTTTAAATTTTTTCAACGACAATCAAATTGTAAATTACTTAAATTAGTCAAATTTCATGAAAAGTCTTGAATGATGAAAACATTGGAAATAAAAGTAAATTTGATGGATTACTCATGTACTAAATGTAGGTAGCGATTTCTCTTTCAGTATTAAGCAATAGGCCAAATATGTCGTATTTGACCCTAATTCCTCTTATTTTTCTTTTTCAGTTTTAAGTGTCTAGTTCAAGTATGAATCAGTCGATGTACATTTAAGGAAAAAGTGAAAAGTTCTGTATAGTATATTTGATGTATAGTAAACTGCTTTTCTTGTAATTTTATTAAGTTTAACAGAAACCTCAGTTATTTCTTGATTTTCAGTCGAGAATGTTTGTATAAAAAATGTTCATACTTCAGGTGCTGTTATGAAGTGCACCTAATGTATTTGCTATTGTGTGTGAGAATGCTGGAATGTATGTTCTTCTAACCTCAGAATAAGCATTTTTTGGTGAACTTTTGCACCATTGACCAAAAATAAAAATTCATGAACTTGGAAGCTTTTTTGTGCTCAGTATTAACCAGATATTACAGCTGACTCGAGCTTGTTCAAAAAGTTATTCATAGCATGCATGAATGATTTTTTAAGTGCATGGTTGCCTTTTTGCCGGAACCAGTAAAGTGATGTGATTTTCAACTCACTATATTGACTCAGTCAAACTATCTTGCTGAGTTAAAGTGCCAACAACAAAGTTAGAACCATCAGTTTGAAGGCTTTCTATCTTAAATATCAGCCCAACTTTATTGCCAATTGCCTAATTTTCTGCACCATTTAATTTTTAAACTGAGACAACTGAGCAGCATGATGCGTTGAAAATTTGTGTGAATTTTCCATGTATGACAAAAATTATACCCACATATTTTCAAGGCAGAAAGTTGGTTAGCTCTCCCTTCAGAGAATAAGTCATGAGAGGAAATCAGGTACCATGTCATGTAGTTAGGCTGTTTAAATCATTTATTAACCATAAAACCATGACATAGTCAATCTTGATCACTATCACGATCGTACGGGCATATTTCATCAAAATCAGCAAATTTTTCAATTTCTACCTCAAACAAGCAGTTTTTCTCTTTCGCATAAAAAAAGTACCCGTAAGTACGTCTCGGCTTTCCTCCGAGTTATGGGATTCAAATTGATTTTACATGATTTTACATTTACTTAATCTCACAAAACACTAAATTTTCTGCATTAGCTGGGTCACTGCTCTATTAATGAGGATGAGCTAACTCTTGCTCAACACTGATCACTGTCCTTCTAAGATTATAGGAAACAACCATTCATGCAAGCTGGAATAGGATCAACATGCTTTCAGTTCCCTTATCATATCACTCACGACTATTTGGGATCCTTCGTCAAGCATACAATACAATCAACAATAATATAAACTGATTTTCCTCTACTTATGCCCGTTTACCATCAAATATTCAAAAGTTGTTTCATAAATGAAGACATTAAATCAATAGTGGGCTAAGTGCCAAAAAGTCAAGTTTCGGTTATTCAACATTTATTTCCCACAGGTTGCCCGGCACATACCACGTATCGCTACCTACAGGGGCACTTTGCACACTACTATCATGGTCATGGCACTCAGTCCGCTTCACAGGTTGCTGTCCTTGGTACATAGAATGCTATTCAAGGTCTAACTCGATTTGCATTTTTTTGGCACTTAGCCTGTTATTGATTTAAGGTCTTCAAATAGTATTTGTGATGGCTTGTTTTTACTTTCTTCACAACAACAAAATTTCTTGGAAAGTATTTCACTTTATAGCTCTGAGGATAGTAGCATGAGTCAGCTCTAATTGCAATTAGTTTTCGATCTAATCGTTTGCTATTCGACATTCAGAAAACAGTTCAGCTACTACTAATTGTGTAATGTTTTTAAAATTATTTATTCGAGGATCATCACTGCTGTTTGTCAAAACATTTTATCGTCAAGCACTTAGTTTTTTTTAAAATGAAAGGTTTTTTTTTTCACTTTGAGAAACATTGAGGCTTGAAAAAATTATTCTGTCCAACGCAGCCATTATAAATACTTAAAAAGTAGGTTTGAGATAAGTTAGTAGCATCATTACTACTGGAACACTACGGTATAATTCCATCTCCAAGGCCTGTCATGCATAATTCTTAAAAAAACGTGGAGCGATCAGAAACGTTTCATTTTAAGAACTAAGAACTAAGGGTGCTGGGTCAGATTATTATAGAAGAGATTGAAGTCTAAAAATTCTTAATTAAAGAATGGAATGATCCTCTTTCTTAGAAATTCATCAAGTTTCAACAGAACCACTTTTAAGAATGTTGTTTAATAGGAAGACGAGAATGTTATTTTCATCATAACCTATGCTAAATTTAATGATCCCTACTATCCTACATAGAACTACAGTAATACCCAGATTATCTGACCATCAATTATCCGACGCTTCAGTCATTCAATGGTCAAAATCAGGTCGGCAGACATAACAACAACTGCTGTTTTATGCAAAAATTGAGTTTTTATGTGATTTTTTTTTTTTTTTCCAATTTAATGACCTTGTCTCACAAATTTGACGGAAAACTGGTCAAGCTTGTGCTTTTTGCGACAAATAGAGCCTTTTGGTTTGGTTTTTGACTAGGTACCCAACTTTTTCGATATCTGACTCAGCCCCTGCCACAAATCGTCAAATAATGGGGGCATAACTGTAGGTACTTATAATTTTTGCTGACCTTTCAAAATGTATGTTTTATTTTTACTACTTTTTACTACTTTTTTGTTTTATCATTTTTCCTACTTTTGATTGTAATACATGTGCACCCAGTTGTGACGCTGTCATTTTCAAATGATGGAAAGCCCAAATTAAGAGCTAGCCCATGCTCTTAGATGCACTCGCACTTCCCTCTCATTGTTTGTAGAAACCAAGTTTATTTGCAGAGATTTGTATTTATAGGAAGATTATTGGAATTGTATCACTCAACTAGAACTAAGTCAAATTTCTTGTATCCATTTCCCTTTGAGTTGTTGACTTTTAAGCCATTTCTCTCCACAACTTTATCAGATCCATGTAACTTTTTGTAACATGATCCCGTTCTCTATTTTTCACATGTCCCAAAAATGTTCCAATCTATGTTTCAAATTTATTCATAATATTATCACCGCACAATATTTTGGAAAATGAGCAATCTGGTTTTATTTAGTTCTTGTGTAAATTTTTAATGAAAAGCACAGGAACTGCATTAAAGCTTTGAAACCGAGATACCAAGACTCATTCAGTTTTTTTTCTACCAAAAAAGTTCCTTCTCTTTCTAAATTATATCAATTTAAAGTACTTTGCATTATATTTTGGCTCTCTACTCACTCTCTCTTCATCTCACTCCTTTCTGGATCCTTTTTACTCTTATTAATATTAGATGGCAGATTTCGAAGAGACATCTTTCCCTTTTTTGTCAGTATCCATTTGAACTTTATACAAATTTGATACTTTTATTGAAGCTCTTTTCTGAATGCAAGTATGGTTGTGTGTATGCATGTGTGAGTGTATGTAAATAATTGCACATGTTCATGTTATTCACACTCATTATTCTTTTTCATTTAGATAAACTGGAAACTGTAAATAATCATTGTTGTGTAATAAAGCTAGGATAAACATTTTAATTTTTTCTTTTTTTTTCACACTTGTCCTTTCAGCCCCATCTCTAAGTTTCTCTTCTCTATCCTTCCAGTTCATTATTTCGACTCTACATCAGCTGTTTGAAACATTGACAAATTGTAACACAGTTATAATGTACGAAATTTGTGAACGCTAAGAACTTACGGCTGCATTATTCAATTTGGCTAAATAGTGCAGGAATGATATGAAAGTTCAGGGAAAAAATTAATAACAAGCTGATTTTTGGCAAAGTGAGTCCTTATGACCCTCTGAGTTCCCAAAAAACGTCCCCATCGATAGCATAACGGTTTGGGGATTTTTTTTATCTCCCTCTTCCTCCCCCCCCCCCTCAAAAAAAACCCCGCGATCAAGGCACCCGCCTTGATGAGTAGAGGAACTCTTTGTGCCTAAGAGATGCCTTTTGTAGTTACAAATGAGGAATTGAAAGTGTTGCGTCCTCGCATCACTGCCGCGCCGGCCGAGGGTGATGGTGAAGCGGTGAGTGTCTGGAAAGTCAAAACGCCTTCAAGTCTACGTATATGCAACACGGACATCCGTGGAGCTCGAATAGTTGCATCTAGACGTTTCACTGAAATTCGTTCAGTGATTTTTCGTCGCGTGCGATACTAAGTATACCCGGGGACGCTTTGCTTGTTTCCCTGACCCCTGAATTTAATTCCAGTGTTGTTTATTGTGCCGATGAAGTAAACGATCACTGATTTTTATCGTGATACTGTCAATTTTCAGAAAAATGCATTACAACGTTGCAGGTTCTCGAAATCGCAAAAAATGTAGGTTTGAGCATGATTTTTAGAGTTTCTATGACCTATTTTAACGAGTCCTTTGTTTGAACAAACCCCCCCCCCCCATCCAAATAATACGAAATTTTGAACAAAAACGATGACCATTCGTCTCTCGATAAAACAAAATGCGGCAGGAAAGCTATGACATTACATGCCAAAATATACGCAGGTATATGATTTTCTACTATCACTTGCGATACAGGAGCACCATGAAGATGTTTTTAAAAATTATGTGTAATGTCATCCTACTCTTTCATTCTGAAATGTGGGCCGTGGCCCCTACACTTACCTACTCTGTCCTTCTAAGGAAAAACGCCGTATGAGCCTCCAGACATTGCCAAGATTCCTCCGATAAAAACCGAATTTACTGGGAAAATTGCGGATATTATCTTCCAAAATTTTCAGACAATTTGTACGCAATTTAATCTAAGATACCTGAAAATTTCGAGGAGAAATAGGCATGAATGTTTTCAATAATACATATTTTATCAAGGGGACTTTGGGAAATCTCGGAGGCCCATGCTGTGTTCTTTCTTAGCACAGCAGCACTGACCTAAGAACGACGAATGCGGCAGGGTCGCCAGGGTCGGATTTAGAGGTGGCCACATGGACCGCGGCCCATGGCGGCAAATTTTGCAATTTTTTTAAATGTGGCTATAAAGAAAATTCGGATTAAAAAAAAAAAAAAAAAAAAAAATTACAAACAAGAAAAGATGACAAAATCTCTCATCCTTCGAGAGAAGATTAACTCTAATTTTGTCGTCTTTCTGTGATACAATATACAACACCTTAAATTAGTCGAGTTACGACTAAGAGAGAAACCGAATAGGAATTTGGCCCGGAACGGCGCGGCGTGGCGAAGAGAGCAATGATGACGAGAACTTGAAATGAAAAGGAGAAACCCGCGGCGATCGGCATGTAACACATATTAGCGCCTACAAGACGGCACGAATACTTCACGCATTGCGTCAAAGACGGTGCGCGGTCGCTGCGGTTAGCAGCAAGCGGCGCGAAACGCATGGCGCCTACAAGACTGCATGAATACTTCACGCATTGCGTCAAACACAGTGCAGACTGTAGGAATACTTCACGCATTGCGTCAAACACATTGCGGTCAGCGCGGCGCGGCGCGGCGGCGGACGTTAAAATTATTGAACTACATTTATGTTTTTTCTTTCATAATTTTTTCGTTAATTTCATATAAATGGAAGGCCTTGTCCACACAGAGATAGGTTTACTAAACTTAACTTTCGCGCCAAGTTAGTAGTAGTAAATTTTGCTGGTAGTGTTGACAGTGCTTTCGCAAAAATGTGTCCAACACAAGTAAACGCGTCTTATGCACCCCTCCCCCTCCGGCACGTTCACTTGGTGGTTTTTATTGGTTTTTCAAAACGAATGAGAAGGGGGCGGCAAAATACAGGCGGCCCATGGGCGGCAAGGAAGTAAATCCGGCCCTGATCTCAACATACCTAATAGTTTTCGTGGAAGAGTTTCTAAATGGAAGTCCCATTCAGCCTGACTCCATCACATGTTTGAATGATAAAACTAGAAATATACGTGACTTAAACATGACTATACGTACTTTACGCGCTGTAAAAGCGACTCATATGTATGTATATACGTGACTTGGATGCTGAAAACTCTGTAAAACGGCTTAATACTTAACTAGAGGATAGTTGAGAGGAAATTTACAAAATAATACAATTAGGAGTTAAAAGTGAAAAGTAATTTAATGTCTAATATTGGCACAGAAAAAATGCTTAGTTAGTAGATAATCAAGCACTATAGGGAAATGTTTTGGCATTTTTAATAAACAAAAAATGAGATTATTATAGGTCTAAATGTTTTTCTCTTTCAAAATGATCACCTTGTCTTTGAAAAATTTTCAAGGAGCTAAAGGGTCATTAAGTACTCCTGCGATAAGAGTTACCGTTGTTTCCAAGTCAACAACAAAATAGATGAATGGACTTGCAGCGTAAAACTTTCTATGGGCTTGATGAATCGGAATTTCGTTGTCTATGAAAAAACAAACAAACAAAACATCAGCAATAATGACAAGTATGAAAGGAAAAAGGAAGGAAGACAAGAGGAAGAGAAAAAATGCCTATGATATCCAAGGAAATTATACGTAGTGGCACTAAGTATAAATATTCACTAAATACCTACACAGAGGAGGAAATCGTTTTCCGTCAAAAACACAGTGTGCGACCAAAAAATTGTGGAAATCTTGTCCTGTAATAGTGTTCCAATGCTCTTGCGAATTTTATTGGTTTTATTTCAATTCGGATTGCAAAATAGGTACCTTGTAAAAACTGAACATACCGGTTTTTGACAACATAAAGGCTATCATGGCAAATACGATCATAAAATTTTAGATGCTATAAATTTGATTTGCGAGCTAGGCTCTGAATGCTCAATTCCAATTTTTCAACGTCTCTTTTATCTTTTGGATTGTTATTAATAAACACTCAAGGTACTGAAACCTCCGTATTTTCCTTGCTTTCACACTGTATGTATTGAAACTAGCTTTCAGCATAAAAAAATAGTGATTTTTAAACATATTGGACAGAAAGTTTCTTTCATAAGTAGGTACTTTCTCTGTCAACTTTTAATACCCAAGTTGGTGAAAAAGCTGAGGACAAAATTCTGTTTCTCCCTATTTTCATCAAAAATTTGCAAGGCACAGATCGATCCGTGTGAAAAATTGTGCCGACAAAATTTAATGCTTACAAAAAACCAAGCTCCCAATGATAAAAGATTTGATTTTTTCCAAACTGAAGGCAGTTCTTGTTTAAACCCTGAGAAAACACTTCATCTCGTCTGAAATAGACAATATAACATTGCAGGACTGAAACCTTTTCAGCCGTAGTATTATCGCATTCTATCTTCTACCTTTACGGCTCATTTGGTCAGACTTTGCCACAATGGATCAGTTGCGCTGGTGACAGAACCGTGTTTTCATGCTTGATTCTTGTAGATTAGCTAAAAAGAAGAAGATCTGTCCAAACAGCAACTTTCTACGTCCAGTATTACCCGAGATATCGTCCTTTGAAAAGTCGGGTTTTTGACGTACCGCGGTGGATGACATGACGTCATAAATCGAGTTTTTCACGATATCTCGGTCAATGGTCAACGTAGAAAGTTGCTGTTTGGACGGATCTTATTATTTTTAGTTGATCTGCAAGAATCAAGCATCAAAACACGATTCTGTGACCAGCGCAACTGACCCATTATTATGTGGGTCAATGCTTTTTCACCTGCTGCGACCAGCGAGCTTGAAGAAAAGCCAGCCGAGGATAGTGGCGAGTCCAGAGTCAGCGCGGTGGAACAACGAGGGGACCCTTCCAGTGCTTTTAAGAAACGGAAGAGGGGGCGGTAGGTCACCGCGCCGCACAATGGATCGAGTCAATAGGTGAGGTCGGACAAAATTCGGCAACTTTAAACGCATATAACTCCGTTTATACACAATTGAGGACACCGCACCAAAAACAGCCTGTAGGCGTATAGGTCGTTATTACGCCCATCTTCTTTTCGGATTCTACGTACCCTGGACTATGCTGGGGTAGCGATAGAATATAGATAGGTAACGGCTCGAGGTCGAAAAACCTTTTTCTTCCGAGTAAAGTCAGGCCTCTGGATCGATGGGTGCAAGAATGACCTATAAACGGGCCTATAAACTTAAGGGCCTGTAAGGTGCTAGTTACCCCTTTCTTTCCTCACTATCGATATTCTCTCACTTTGCGTTAACCATGCGTGATTAAAATGATTTATACTTCATATTGCCACCGAAATGACTGTTGGGCGTAATAATGGCCTATAAACTGCTTTTTTAAATTAAATACATTAGAGTGTAAACCCAAAATGTATCGCAAAATCTACCCGGCATCCTTCAATAGAAGGGTTAGGTCACCCAAAAACACCAAAACAAGGTACCTGCATAGAAAAGTCTGCGCAGTACATCAAAAACAAAACTTTAAATGCGTTTTTCTCAAAACGCGGTTTTCAGTTATAGGCTGTTCTTGGTGCGGTGTCCTCAATTTTGAGGTTCTATAAGTGATTTTATTGGTTTTCTCGTGAAATTTTCTACCAATAGCACCCCTAACAGTTGAAATTGTGAGGATAAATACGTCAAAATTTGCAGTTTTAATCAAAAATTTCATGTCCGACCTCTCTAATGGACTCGATCCACTGTGCGCCGGTCGCCGGCCTGTTGCGAAACCGGTAAACGACCGAGGACGAAATTAAACAGGGATACCACTCATTACCAAAGGATAAAGGAGATCAAAGACCGGGCTTTCAACTGTGACGTCCGGACTGGGCCGCCGAGCACCGCCACGAACACGGCATCCACCAAATACAATGCTCCCCCGATCGCGGAGCCGACAGCCGACACTTCAATTGTTGTTGAGAATTTTTAGGGGATCCCGAGACACGAAACAGGATGTTAACGCGGTTTTCCAAGAACTGGAAGGTTAATATCCGATGGACGACTTGAACGCTCCGAAGGTCATTGCTGCCTTTACGACGTTTCAAGGATCTGTGTTACCTATACGTGACGTGACCTATCCTGTGTGCCCCCCTCCCCGGTTTCCCCTCTTTGGTTCGCTGTCGGCATTGTCTTCGCTCGGAATTTCTCCACGATCAATTTGCACAGAAGTGTGCGCGGGTAGTAGCAACTGGGTAGCTGTATGACCATTGACCCGACTTAAATTGAGTGTCTTCCTTCGGAAACTCGCCCCAATTCGGAAAACATGAAAATTCGGTTTCATTGCAGAAAAGTTGTCTCATGGGTCACACGTATCTTTTAATTTTTTTCATTTTACGTTGATAAGTGAGGCATGAATTCTCAATTTCTCTGTAAAGTATACCCAAATTCAAGATTTAAAAGTGAGTCAGATTGTACACTAAAAGTTACTGTAACCAGTCGCTGCGGTATGAAAATATGGTAACCTCAATTTCAGTCCATCGGCTCAGCTGTTGTACGTTGTTAACACTTTGAACAAAACACAAAGTTGGGAGAGCAGCATTGCTCGATTAAGAAACCTGCCAAACCCGTTGTAGTGCGCGATTTGATTCAAGAAGACTATGTCATTTCTGGTGAGCGGGGAGTTAAAAATTCTCAACATCAACGTACTTAAATTGAAAACGTTAAAATCTTGGTTAGATGTTGATTTAAGTGGTAATTTTTGTTGCGTGGATCGTGTTCCCCCGAAATTTTGATCGAGAGACATGAATCAGAATGCTTACAGGAGGCGCACTTTTGTCCAGTGGCCCATTCTGGAGGACGTTTCGCTTACTTTCTTATCCTTGCGTTTAAGTCACCAAGGCATTATTACTCCTAGAACCTGGACCAAATTCTTATTGTTTTTCCCTAGGTGTTAGTATCAAAAGTGGCAACTGCGGGTGGTTTATGAATTGACGGATGAACCGCAAACAACACACAGTAGAAGAGTAACACTGATCGATGAAGAAGACTGTTGTATGTAACGAGCGATTTGATTCGAGTGGACACCTGTTTTTCTTGTGAATTTGCGCGGAGTTCGAACTTCCCGTGACCAATGTAGAAAACTAAAAACTTTAATATCTTAATCAGAAGTTGATATTTTAGTAATTTCCCTAAAAAGAATCACGATCTACGTGAAATGTTGAAGAGAAAACACGTATGAGAATGCTTTAATTCGTATCTTAACTGTCCAGTAGTCCATTGCGATATTATAAGTTTAGGGTTAAATGTTAAAAAATGACATTGAATTTCATGGCTTATGCAAGGTCTGAGCGGATGTTCCAAAGCGAGAAATTCTATTTCCGGGTCAATTTTATGCATACTTCAAAACTTGCTTTGTTCCGAATCTCCAATATAGGTGAATCATTTTTTTTCCAAAAGATGTTAATTATATATGATACCTTTTTCATTTGAAGGGAAGTTCAATTTTCAGTACTTACATTTGAGTTGCTCTTCATACTTCCTCGCTGATAAAGTAACAACTTGCTCGATATTCCTCACATACAGGAACGGATCATATGATAAGGAGGTTAGATGGGCCCGATACGGGTCAAAAATAGCGTTAACTCCAAACTGGAAAATGATTAACAGAATTATAAAGTAATGAGCGCCCAACATCTGCAAAATCTACTCATGCCTGATTGTAGTAAATTAAATCTGAGTAGCAAGGTGTACATATACGTAGGAGTAGGAGAAAAATATCTCCATTATTATAAGATCAATATTTAAGTCCCAGAGAACTGCGAAAATGATAGCTAACCAATGCGTATTGAATTCAGTCGGGTCGCGCGCCTTCAGTCCAGGCGGTAGGCAATCGTGCATTGTGGCGAAGTGCTAACATTTTGGATCAGACCTAGAGTAAATGATTTTATCCTTTACTCTAAAAGTCACGATTTTCTCTAGTGTTACAGCAGGATAGAGTTAAGCTTATGGTTCTTGAAGCTGATCATCAGCGGGTTTTCATTTTTTATAAAAAACAACCAAACGCACGCCCTTAAATTCAAAAAGGTAGAACACGTTCTAATATTTTAATTAATACGTAAACATTGTCATCTCCAACTTCATGCTTCACATGGACTATATGTAGAAAGCGTGGTAATGAAAGAATTGTGAATTACCTCGACTGTAAGCTCTTCGTAAAATCTGTATGACAATATGGCATGGTGCGACAATATAAATGTATGATCGCGTGAGCATTTAGATGGTCGAAAATATGTGAAAAGGTTAACAGTCGTCATAATTTAGCCCAAGTGTCGAACAATAATAAATGAAGGGTCCTAAATAATGGCTGAATATATACTGTTATAATTGGACTAACGCTTCTTGAGGATTCACAAAATTTTGATGATGATGGTCTAATAATCTGTACTTTATCTTACGTGGTACAACGCTGGAGAAAGATCCAGTTGCTGGAATATCCTAAAGGTAGGCACAATTACATGGATGGGGTACAACCTCAACTGGGAGTGGATGGATCTGATTCCACATCTACTCGTCATATGGCTCAGCACGTGGTTGACGGATTTTCCACCGCTTGGCAGCACTATCATGAGAGCGTAACGTGGATTCTAGAAAGGCAAAACATGAAATCGATTTGCGAAATTATTTCCTATAGGTAGCATGTAGTTACTTTCCTGTAATTTTTAACTACATATTCATTTCGTTTTAATATCAGCAGGTTATCAATGAAATTTCCCAATTTATTAATTTGGAAATTATTTTGAGTTCTCAATTTCTTTGCCCTTGACATGTTGCAAACAACTCGGTCGCATGGATTATTTATCGTGAATCACACTTAGAAAGAGGGAATTTCACTTTCTGTATTTTAAAGAAAGAGATAAAAAAACCATTAAATTTTTTGAAAAACTGCATTGAATATTTTTTTGAAAGGCTACCGCCATCCAATAAGTTCATTGCTTCAAGGCATATAAAGAGGGGTATTGAAACTGAAAATACATCATTTTTAATTTCAGGGATCTTTTTTATCTATAAAATCTAGGAGCATTGGTGGAGGGGGGCCAGGGCGTCTAGGTCCTCCCCTCAATGACCGAGATTTCCCCCAAAATGTCATTTTACGTGATTATCAAAACTTTATCATTTATAAAACCCACAGGAAACATTTCTGATTACGCCACAGGACATCGGATACTTTTTTTTACGAATTTCATTTATATTCGTTTTTTTTTTTAAAAAAAAAATTTAATGCAACGTAATATGAGAAATTTTGATTCCAGAATTTTGTTGAGGTAACGCACATCTAGAGGAAGCTCCAGCACATGAGAATGAATTGCAGGTACGTAAGCATATGGCAGGATCGCAGCGAAATTCATGACTGGCACAATTTGTTGATGACTAGAGAGGGGTGAGACCCAAATGGAAGTCTCCGGTTTTGATAGGTCGTATCGATTTTTGGCCTGCAAGTATCTCAGATCGTGATCCGAGGTGAATTTATGTTTCACCAGATTCCAGACGATTGGTGTGACATCATGCCCTGCAAAAGTGAAACGAAAATGTCTAAGCAGCGTGAGCATTCAAAATGTGAAAGAATAAGCGAATTAAAAATTAATAAAATTAAATGAAGTAAAATGAGGACGTAGGGAGTCAAGAGAGGCGTTTAAGTATTGGACTTTTCAAATGAGACCAATTTGAGTGTAATCAATCTATAACTGCATTTCACTTCCCAGTTGCCTATTTTTTTCTTACCTATACTTCATTTTTTAGCAAAAATACTAACTTTTTGTGAGAAGGTATCGTTAAGCCCGAAGTCGGTTCCACTCTGTAGAGTCGAGATCATAGTCTCTCGCCCTGGATTTTTTCAACTTCAACGTTTCTTGCGAATGCGATTGATATAAGCCCCCAAAGAATGCCTGTAATCTAAGGGCCTTATTCACAGTCGCTCGTTAAACATTTCTTCTTCTCAAGAGGCCCACCCCTCTTAGGTTCATATCGCTATAATGGAAGCTTTAAGGAGAGCCTTAACATTGTACAGTACAGAATTGAAGAAGAAAATTTGAACGAATTGCGAGTAAAATTAAACAAAATAACCTCGGGAAAAAGCCTTGAAAAGGTTCACAAGGGGGCATCTGCTCGAAAGGTCTGCCATTTTTTGGGGGGCCCTATCTATGATTTCCATGGAGTCTATGATGGATGCACTAATCGCGAGTGGATCTCTTAGTGGCCATACTTTGTCTATAAAGGTACTCAAGGTTAAGGATTTTTTTAAACGTCCCTTTAGCACAGGGAACACCATGGGGTCTCCAAAGGAGGGGGGGGGGGTGTTGAAAGAACGACTTTGAATAAGGCCCCAGAACTCATCCAATAAAGAACATGTTCGGTTTATACATCTACCAATTCAATTGTGAACGAGCACTCGGATGAGAGGTCGAAAACGCGACCTTGCGCGTGAAAAAAAGCAAGGCGCGCGAGGAAGCGAAGAGAAAGAGAGAAAAACGCGAGTGTGTCGAATATACTTTTGATAGAAAACAAAAAGAGTCGGCTCGTGAGTAATTGCTCGTTTGTTTTACTTAATTACGGGCCGAACGTAATGCAGAATAAACGCAGCATTACCGAGCTAAACCCCCATTTCCCGCACAGCGTCCCCCGTGGGGTCCCCCTCCTCCCCGCCCCCCGGGCTCATGACGTATGAATCGACCACTTGCATTCGACTCCCGTGGATAATTGCACCGATCCGGCTAGTTCCGGTGATTTTGTCATCGTATTAAAAAACGATGCCTATTCGCGTTGTCAAATTTGCGCGACTTACTACTTCGCATCTGAACATCCCAGGGTACGGGCTAGAAATCAAGGCCTTTTATCTTTGTGTCATCTTGTGCATTTGCGTGGGCTTTTCATCACCAAACTTTCATGTTCGTCGTTTGATTATGCAGGAATTTGCCGAAAAAGGGGTTGGAATTCGATTTTTGATTTTTATGTAATTTTTAGATTTGAGTCTGAGATTTCCCGAGAAAAAAGAAAAAAATAGCACCAATGAAATGAGTCTCACCATTTTTTCGCAAAATGCAATTTTCTAAGAGAAAATGTCTTTTTTAGGTCCACAAAACGAGTGTTTTTAGAAAATTTGATCTGAAAAATTTTCAGGGTAGGTTGCAAAAACTAAGGTCATTTTTGGCTCATTATATTATAATTATTTTTACGTTCTCTCAGACGCAAAAAACTGATTGTTTTACATAGAGGTCAAAGTGCGATCAATGCGTGTTACAATAGTTGCTTCTGATAATTAAGCCTCGCGTTATCCAACTACTATTAATCTGAGATTATTTTTCCTCNGGTGGGCTTCAAAATATTGAAAAGGGCTGAAAAAATTTTTGAGCTCTAATTTTGATGTAGCAAAAAATGTTCGATTTTTGCGGTAATTTACGATTTTTTTATTTTCAACTGTTTAAAACTTGATTTTTGCTTAAGAGAAAAATGGAAGGTGATTAGTGAGATAATTAATTGATTCCTTTCGGAAAAAAGGAATAATTTTTCGTTCCGTAAAAATTGACCGAGAATCAAAAAGGAGTAAAAAGAGCAGAACAAGTTTACCGTCTTCATAATACCTATATCTCTATAGGGCACTCCAATCTCTCTTCGATTATTGATGGTGCGAGTTACCAAGGAGAACAATGAGGACAAAAAGGAGAACAATTAAATGAGGAGTACTGAGTATAAGTAGAGTTGACAACGGCGGTACCTACTCGAAAAAATCCTCTATAGCTGAGTAGCTCGGTCTTTGGGTTAAACAGCAGCAGTGTTGCCTTTTTAAGATCGTTAGTTAAACAAAAATATATTTTCCCTTTGGATGCTTTGCATTTCCTTGTTTTTCCTTTTATCTCGACGCGCGGAAGTAGCTTATGTCACTGTCATACTAATGTGAGGGAGGCCATGAGCGTAATATAGTATCTACGTTTAAATTTGTCCACAAATGTGAAAAAAAATATGACTTGCCACTTGACCAACGTCAAAGTGGCAAGTGCTGTAAGATCATTGACGTTAATGCCTATCAAGCAGACTGGTGTTCGGACCTCAGTGTCAATCGGACGCTCTTCAACTTAATTTCAATTATTTAATAAGGAAAACAAATCATTATTCGCAAAATAGTTTGATTCTAGAGTCAGATTTATACAATTTTAAAGGTTAAATCTGATAGATGTAGCAAATCATGTTTGTGTTACAAGAGAAACAATCAGTCCCGGAGAAAATTTGTTCGGTCCCAATTAGGGCAAGTGTTTAAAAAGCATAAGTTTCTACCGATTTTACTTTTGGCTCGCCCAATCAGATCCCTGGGATAGGCTATTGCTGGATGGATTTATAACTCTCACCAAGTTCCGAAATAATTTGATACTGAGTACTTAAATTTCAACCGACAATCAAATCGCCCTGCCTATTCCATCAATTACTGTCTTCACCCGAGGCGTAAAAATTATGAAAAAATACACCTAATGCAACTTCCTGACATTATGAGGAGAGTGATTATCAGTTGGGCACCACTTTCGTTTTCTAAAGGAAAATCACAGATTTTCTGATGGTTTTAAAGTTCCTGTGGGAAAAATGAGTTGAAAAAGAAAATGACTTGGCAAAATGTACCTAATGACTATGCGAGTTATTAGTTCTTCATTTGGTACAAATAAAATTGCGTGGTCCTTACATTTTTTTACGATGCATTCACTTTTCTCTTGATGAACACTGCCCTCATTAATATTTTAATATCGCGAAACCAAGCTGACAAAGAAACTGGAATGGCAATGATGCTTAGCGAGACCCCGACCATCGGCTACGTTTTTGCTTGGATGAAGAAAGCAACTATGCAAATTGCAAAGATCACCGTGCGATTAATGACTATTCGGAACTAGGTGAATTATCTCTCCGTTACCTTGAGGAAAACATTTCATCTACAAATTACTGGCCTGTCACAAAACATAATCCGCCTAAAATCACAAACGCTCAGTTCACAAAAAAGAAATATTCTCCTGAATGCAATAATTGAAGCATCAAAAAATTATTGTGGAAAACCATACCCAGCCGAAGTCGCCATTTCCGTTGGGGGTAATAGATGGGCTGGTGACTTAACTTTCATGTAAGTTAAATCTGAGCTACGTCAGCCATCTACGCAGATGTCGATCGTGCCCGACACACACACGTTTTTTAGAACAATTGATGGGTTTACAGATATCTGTACAATTTTCCTCCCACAAAGAAACTGACTTTATCAAAGGGATAACTGAACTGCCCATTCACCGTATTCGAAAGATCCCCATTGGCCCATTCAGGCTCGTCAACAAATGAGGACGAGGGACGGTGGCGTGGCGTGCTTTAAGATATATCCATTGATTTACCATTTAAATCTTTGGAAAAGAATCGATAAACAGGGTGTTCGCAACGAACACCTTGATGATTGATTCTTCACCACAATTTCAAATGGGGAAATATCAATAATCGATCATCATTGGCGCCTCGCCACTGATGAGGGATACCGATCCATGATATAATAAAGAATAACTTAACCAGCGTAAAATACGAAACATATAACAACTTAATCCGAAAAAAAGCTGGAAATAAATGAAAATCGATAAATCTAGAGTTTTGAGATACTACAGTCGCGTTTTCAACCGGCAAGTAGGAATTAATTCATTTAATTTTCTTTTTTGTTTTCGCAGCCTTTTTCCAAACTGAATTCTTATTTATTAGTAAGATTCCGAAATTATGCGGGTTAAGGTAATTCGTCACGGAATCTGGCGGGGTCAAACTAGCACGTGATGTATCGCATCGATTAAGTAAAACATCTCGGTAGATTTTGACTTTTTAGTTGAAAAAAAGGACGATAGCCCTTACGCATGAGTCTAGAGAATCATTCAAAACCAAAAAATTGGCAAAGTTTAGAGAGATTAAAAATGAATTTTTTGTTGTTGAAAACGCCTCGGATTCGATACAGTAATGAACTTGTGTGTCGGATGCGAGGTTCTCTTTTTCCTTTCCTTTTTTATTTCCAAAAAGAATTCTGCCTTCATTTCTCTAAATCTTGCCATTTTTTGGTGGAGAATCGTCTTTTAGGGTCATGCGAAAGGGCTATCATTATTTTAAGGGTAAGAATTCAAAAACTGCCGAGATTTTTTACTTATTCGATGTGTTACGTCCTTTTGGGCAAAATTTCTGACGAATATTTCTCGAGATTTTTAACAAAACTTAAATAAAAACCAATACCATTTACATAAATATACGGTAAATCAAAGGTACGATTAATTTTTTTCAATTTGCTTGGGGAGTTTGTGGTAACAACTTGCGAGCTCTTTTTACTCACCCAGTATCCGATAAAACAAAATCGATCAATAGAAATTAGTTTCATCGAGGGCGAGAAGGATAAAATGAACAGAAAAAATATAGTTCTCGGCGGAAATATCCTACAAAGTTCGTTCAGAAATTATTTCAAAAATGGAAATTAGAAAATCCATGAAAGCCTGAAATTTGTAGACCATTCAGAGAGAGGCACTTTTTTGTGTTAAAAAGATTGAGATGGCAATAATATCTCCACATAGGTACTCTGGTATTCGGATGCCACACCTAGTGACAATTCCGCGCGTGCACTTCTGAAGAGGTGAGAAAAGCGAAAGTGCCTTCAATTTTGAACATGCAACACGCACATCCACAGAACACGAATAGTTGCATCAAGGCGCTACAATAATCTTAGTCAAATATTTGTAAAGCAGAAGTGCCTATGCAACACGCACATTCAAGATACTGAAAATATAAGCAAAATGTTTATAAAACTCCTAAATTCGTACCATAAACTTTTGAGAAAAATAAGTTGTAAAATTTATTGCATGACTTGTAAGTTTCGTTCAACATCTCGCAAATAATTCGTTAGAAATTGCTGATGCTTGGTGATTCACCATAGTTCATTCACTACATACTTTGTGGGTATTTTGTTTTGATTAATTTACTTTAATTAAAAGCATAATTTACTCACAATGAACTGACCGGCTAGATCTCCTGGCGTGCTCTCTCGTTTCTTTCACAGATGCAGACCTCAAAACAACCGCACGCTGTTGAGCACCTCCGCGATCAACAGTCGGACTCCGTTTTTTCCGGCCGCATCGGATGTGACTATGAGAATACGAAGACTCCATCGAATTCGACTCAACGACTGCCGACTCCATGGTACTGGACTCGATTTCGAAGGACTCCCCATCTTTTTTTGAATTAGCGCTCATTTGTGAGAAATCGGTGAAATTTGATGAGAGCCGACTTTCATCAACACTGTAATGCTCAGCATTGTACTCCTCCTCCTTCGCTAAGCCGTTGGGCACCGACTTCATCATGATGACTGCGGTGCGGTTCACCTCTGGAAAACGTGTACTATGACGGATCATCTCATTGGGATACGTTCTTTCCGTCGTAACTTTCACGCTCTTCGACATGATGTGAAACTCGGAGGGATGTCCGTTTTTAAATTTGTCGGTCCTGACGTACGCGGTCGAGACAGGGCCTCTGAACTCTCCGGGTCTCACGAGACTTGTTCGCATTCCCATTCTTGGGGGGTTGTTCATGATGGGAAATCTTGCGCCCATCATTTTTGCCACTTTGGCACCGCCTACTTTAGGCGGAGGTGGTCTTCTGTCCAAATCTTCCTCCATGATGACAAGGGTGTCTTTGTTTATTTCCGGCTCACCAGTCGATATAGGCGGTATATCATGGTTTTGATTATACAGTTGGTCAAATGTCGTTAGAGGCATCTCTGTGGGGGTGAAAATCGATTTATCGATATCTTTCAACTCTTGCCTATCTCGTTCGAAATTGGGTAAAGTTGAGTGCTCAAAGAAATCGTCGGAAGTGTGGAAAGACGTCGATTCCAAATCGTGAGGCGTTGTGATTCCTGGAAAATCGGTTGTCAAGTCATGTATCTTATCAAATAATTGGAAACCATTTCCAGTCTGGAAATTCTCACTACTCTCTGGCGTGGTCGTGATTGTTTGGTCGGATATGGGCCCATCGGTATTTTCGACAAGTTTCGGCGAAGGAGGTGTTTTTTCATTTTCAGGAAATTCTGTATCGGGACTTTCGCCTCCAAAATTAGGTTTATCAGTTATGAGTTGTGGTTCGGTGATTACGTTGATATATCTGAGGTCTTCGGTGTCACTCAAACTTGTAGCAGGAGGAGAGTGTGCCAACTGACCATGTTCTGTATTCGTGTGCTCTTCTTGGCTACGACTGCTTGGTGTAGATTCAATGTCACTGATTACATTGTAGTCACTAAAATCATTATTCCCACTAGGAGTTGTTAATTCTCGGAGATTTTCATTGTTACCATTCAGATTATTATTTACAGAACTTTGAGGATCGGATGTTCTCTCTGGTATGACGGTTGTGAGTCCTTTATTATCAGTGGCCGACTCAATATCGTTGAGTCTATCTAGGTTTAGCTCGACTTGATTTCTTGGTGGGATATATTCGGTTGAGGTGCCATCTCGAGATGGATTCGTCGAAAGAACAATTTCAGGGGTCGTGATGATGGCATCATTTACTCTTAAACCGATGGATGATGTCGGAGTTTGAGGCACGTCAAAACTATTCGGTTGAGGAGCGGTTGTAACAGTGAGAGAGGGATCGTCTGGTATCAGGTTATAGTCAGTAGGGAGTAATTCATTTCTTGAGGTTACCGATGGAGTATCAGTCGAAATAAAATCATGTTTTTCCAAATCCGTTGTTCCAGTCCTGGAATCGTCGAGATTATCTTTCATGGTGCCGTCATTTTCAGTGCTAGATATAATTATCAGCACGGGGATATCATTTAAATCGTCGATAGGTTTTCCAGTGGTTGTGTTCTCGTCGATGCGCATTTTATCGGATTCATTTTCAATCGTGGTCTTGTCTGAAGTACTTTGGTTAGGCTCGGTTATACCGGTTTGAGTCACGCCTTCAGTTGCCTCTTCCGTTGGCGAGTGAGTGCAGACTTTGAGAGTCGTTAATTGATCGAGCATTTGCTCATCGGTGGAAACCCTGTTGATTGCCGTGTCGTTGGCTATGTCCAGTTGGCTTTGCGCCGGGGAGGAAAACGTCGTCACGGCAATCTCCTGGATCGGCGAGCTCTCCGGTTTCACGGCGGCCGACTCGGGCGGCGACGGTGGCGCATCCGTGGGCATCGCCATCTCGGCGTTTCTTTGCGTCTGGAAGGTCGCTTCGGTCATCGGCGCAAGAGACGATGCCGACCTCGCTGACTCTTCGGTGGTGTTCTGATTACTTTCCGTTGTCGCAGTGTTCGCCTCGTCGGAGGAACGTTGCTCGGTCCTCTCTGTGATCACTTCCGTGGATAGTGCCATATTTTCAAGCATACCTCCGTTGGTGCTAGTCTCTTCTGGTGCGGTTAGAATTTTGCCAGCGACGTCTCCTTGTTCTCCCGGCGTCAGTTGGACATTCTGGTCTGGCGATGGAGCTGCCGGGGTTGGCTCAGCTGAAGTTGACATTTCTTGGGAGGGCATTTCCGTTTCCGGGGGTGGTGGTGGTTGTGATGGAGAAGCCGTTTCCGGGACCAACTGTGGGGACGGTTCTGTTTCTGGAGCCACTGGAGGAGGCGTTGCTGATTCTGGGGCCGGCTGCGGAGAAGCTTCTGCTTCTGGTGTTGGCTGCGGAGACGTTGCCATTTCCTGAGCCGGTGGTGGAGATGTCTCGGTTTCAGGTGTTGGCGCCGGCTGTGGGGTCGTCTCCATTTCCGGAGCCGGCTGTAAGGATGTTTCCGTTTCCGGTGCCGGCTGTGAAGGCGCTTCCGTTTCCGGAACTGGTTGAGGGGACGTCTCTGGAGCCATCGTAGTGGCGGGTGGTATCGACTCTGGTGAAGGCGTTGTTGTTGAGGGAGCTTGTGATGAAGTCTCGGGTGGCGGACTGGGCTCAGTAGTTGAAGTGGACGGAAGGGACTCAGGAATAATTACTGACTCCGTGGTGGAATTAGCGGCTGATGCCGTCGTGGTATTGGACGGTGATTCTGTTGTTGTGGTGGTCGTTGATTCTGTTGTTGTGTTTGCGGTGTTTTCTTTTGGTTCAGTTGTGATTTCTGAGGTGCCATTCACGGATGGTTCTGACGATGGTTGTACGGGTGCGGCCATTGTTGTTGTAGTTGTGGTGGTTGTTGTTGTTTTTGCAGTCGTTGTTGTGTGCCTCGAGCATGAGTCGGGGAGGCTACCTTCTGGTTCAAATCCGTAGAATAGAAGGGTTTGTTTGTATCTGGGAAGCATACAGATGTCGTTCCTGCTGAAAATTAGTCCGCCCAAAAATCCGTCACTCAAAAAGTAACTCTGAAACATAAGCGTACAACAATTTCTCTCAATTTCATACATTTCGAAGACAATTAATCAGGGAACTGACTGTTTTCAGTGTTAACGGCTCAATTTTTTAAAAAAATATTCTGAACACATTTGACATCATGCATAAGTCTGAATGCCTCATTTTACTTTCAACGGGTGTAAACTTAGAGATACCTGATTGCAAACATTTAAAGCAGTCATTTGATTTACCACGCTTAGCCAGGATGTTGGATTTTTCTATGCAAATGCTCGCTCGACTTTTTTCCTTGGTACAGCGAAATATTCGCTTGACAACGCAGAAGCTCGTCAGTGACTTTTAACGGCACGCCACGCGCCGTGTCTCATTTCGTGCGAAACATTTCAATTTTGAGAGGAGGAAGATCAAAGCGCCTTCAGTCTTTCGGCATGCAACCACGACAATCAATGAGCAAGTATAGTTGCATTCAGGCGTCAGCTTCAGAGGCACACAGAGTCCTTAAACTAACTGAAGGCGCCTTGTTTCATTTCCTTCGATGAATGAATTGCTGTCATATTAATTAACGATTACCTCTTTCTGCTTTATTTTTTCCTCTGCCTCTTTTTTAAAATTAACTCAAGACTTCGGGCGCGGCAATTTTTAAGAAAAAAATGATAATTATTTTTCAGAATGGAGAAAAGAAAACAAAATGAAAACTGAAATATTTTCGGTGGTAAAAATGAATTACTGTTGTGGTAAAAATATTAAAGATTAATAGTTAAAAATTGCCAAGGCCCCTTTCTTAAATTTCAAAATTGCATTTTGCTTTTGGAGGGGATAAAAATCCCCAAGCAATCGTCCAGGAGAGTGAGGATAAAAATCCCGGCACTAATTACAAGTGATGTACGTGATTCGAAAAACATTGACTCATTAAAACTTAGACCCAGACTTTCATGGTGATGCCATCGATAAAACCAGTCAATTGAAATAAGTCGCCACCACTAATGGTATCCATTACTTACTTGCGGACCAGATAAGCGTTAAAAACGCGTATTCGTAGGTGCCGTATGCAATCGCGCATCATTTTTGGATGTCTAATACCTCCCAAGCAATTTAGTTCCCTTGGCAATTTCGATGGCACAGAACTTAAATTGGCCACTCGGTTGAGATAAGAGAGAAAAGATAAGAAAAGAATCATAACACTTGTATAACTAAAAATCAAAATATATGTCCTGGAGAAAGGTGGTCGTTGAAATACTTGAAATAATTTGAAGGAGAAAAATTCAATGGCGGTCTCTGACTTTAAGTGCCCTGAATGAGAGAACAATTCATTGACAATCTTGCTGCCATAAGGTATCAAAATTCTTACCTTTAAATGCCTATGTAAGTCTCTGAAGCCTATTTTTGTAACTAGGATATCCCAGGGTAGGCGCAAAATTTTTTGTAGCTGGTATGCAGAGTGACCAGAGGCTCCTTCGAGTAGGAGGACGGCAACAGTTGAGAGGCCATAAGGCGAAAAAGCCACATTATCTCTTGTCGTAGAAGATAAATACTGGAAAAACAAGCATTAAATAAAATGTTTTCTACCACGAGTGAACGGAAAGATACATGACACAGTACTTTTGTACATGGGCTATTTTTTGGAAAAGGTCTACTGGTGATGGGAGAAGAGAAATAGTGGGAAACATTTAATTAAATAGAAAGTAAATCTGGACCGCGTTAAGCAGAAAGGAACCAAGCCTCATCAGTCACTGGCGAATTCAAATGGGCAGATTAATTTTTAACATGAAAACGGTTGGGAAAACGGTGCAAACAGAGAATTTTCTGCATAGTGCGAAGCAAATTCCTTAAAATTGTCCTAGGAATCCACACAAACGTTCACTTGTAAATAATCCCTGGTAAAAATTGGCGATAGGAGCTGCGTTTCAAACTACCATAGGAGTTCTTATAGCCGACTATAGAAGGCTATTGAAAATCATATAGCTGGCTGTAGAAAGCGGAGCAAATCATATCGCCGGGCTATACGAAGGTATGAAAAAGTATACAGTCGGGCTATAGTTCCTATCGCTGGGCTTTACACTTTATCGCCATTGGCTATAAAAGGCTATAAGAAATTGTGTAGAAATTCGTGTGCTTTGGAAATCATTAAGTTTGATACGGAACTACTTTAATATTTACAAAACTTATTTTCCTTTAAAACATATTTTTTTTTCATCAATTAAAATGAGAATTATCTATACAGAGTGTGCAAACATTTCAAAATCATGAGTTGAAAAACGCTGACTCCGCGAGATAAAATATTAGAGCCTAACACAAAGCGGAGCGGCGACGCACTGGCGCTTACAAACCTGACAGGGATACTTCACGCATAGCGCAATGCGTGAAGTATCCCTGTTAGGTTTGTAGGCGCCAGTGCGTCGCCGCGCAATGCGTGAAGTATCCCTGTTAGGTTTGTAGGCGCCAGCGCGTCGCCGCGCAATGCGTGAAGTATCCCTGTTAGGTTTTTAGGCGCCAATGCGCGTTCCGCGCTCTCTGCCCGCCCGCCGCGCCGCAGCGTGCCACGGCGTCTGAAGCAACTATTTCACACCAGAGGTATTGCACAGTATCATAAGAAATTTAAGGCGCTCCAACATATTAAGAATGACAGGCATACTTCAAAAGTACGGAGCTTTCCTCGCAAAATAAATCAAGATACTACGGCACAAAAAGAGAGCGGTAGTCCAAAAACTAACTAAGTCCTAGTATCCGTTTTTAGTAACGTTTAGCATAAAATTTATCGTCTGGCTGTTGCTTAATCGCTATCGGCTATAAAAGGCTATAAGAAATTGTACAGCCGGCTTTAGGTCTATAGTATTTTGGAACACACACTCTACTGCCAATTTTTACCAGGGATTAAATTGCCCAGCTAAATGGTTATAGCGGATGTGGCTTGGTTCTCATAAGCAAAGCATATGTACATGATTTCTTTTGATTTGATTCATTAATGTACAATTTAGTTTCTTTTCGCTTACATATGCTCGGTTGGAGTTATTCAAATCAAAAGTAATTACATCTCCATTTCTATGTGGGCCCTGTCATGCATGTATTCTGATGCTAAGGGAAAACGCCGTGTGAACATTTGAAGGTTGCCAGATTTCTCTCAACAAAAGATTTATTTTTAGGGACATTTATGAGTACCTTTCCTTGAAATTTTCAGATACTGTAGATTAAACGCGGACAAAATCCTATACAAAATTTGAAGGGAAATATTCACATATTCCTTTGAAACTTCGTGAGTTATAGAGGGAAACTTGTGAACGTCTGCAGACTCATTCACGGCGTTCTTCCTTAGTGCAGGAGTATGGAGTTATGGGCTTCAGGACTAATGGGTCACAATTAGTTACTTCTTATTTAAATACGTTCGGTCAGTCTAATTGGGATGCTAAAAAAGAAATATCGTTATAAGTAAGCGGGGAGCAAGTGTTTACCTGAAGTACGCAAACTCCGAGGTCGTTGGTTAAATCGGCCACCGTGTCCATGGGCCGAGTGATTTTGGCGCCGCGGTCGCGGTTCTGCACCGTGGACGAGCCCACGAAAACCATGGCATTCCAGCATCCTGGAGAAATGACATACCAGCTGATCAAACTCCGGACAACACCGAATATGCACTAGATTAGATTAAAAGAGTTCTTTCCACAGTTTCCCACAGTGCCCCCTTATATGCAAGAATAATTGAGATTAGAGGAGGTCGTATTTCATGAGGAATGAGCGTAACAATTCCGGAACTATGGAAAACTTTTTGAACCAATTTTGTAGGTGACAGGATGGGAAACCAAATCCAGGAAACGCAAAGATTAGAATTAGAATCTCTCATTTTGTGACTCTAATACTGACAGTTGGATTTTATGGTTTTTTCTCCAGAGATGGATACATTTTGCAATTAGGAACTATAAATTCCGGCCCGTTTTAAAAACAACGTATGTGTTATTAGTTTCCTAACGCTCATAAGTGTTTTTCAGATGAGCGGATGAGCCAGAATTTATAGCTCCAAATTGCAAAATGCGGTCCAGATTATTATGGGATCAGCACTATTCTACCACATTGTTACTAAGAGCACTGGAGCTACTTTTTCATGTTTTCATGTTTTCCTCTTTTCCTTTTTCTTCTTCTTCTTGCAAATTTTGTAGTTTTGCATTCTGTACATACTTGATGAGGGCGATCTAGGGATAAAGTTTGTCCAATAGGGAATGAAGGGGGTAAAGGGGAAGGGTTAAAATAACTACGGAATAGCTTAGAGGGGTTGATCTTGCATTATTTGGCGCATGGAAAACCGAAAAATCCCAAAAATTGACAAATCATCAGCAAAACGGAAAAAAAGTTTAAGGTAAAATCTGTTAAAGTTTGTTGGTGTTGTTGTCGCAGTTTTGAGAACGTTTCTTCTCAAACACTCATAATATCATTGATAATGCAAATTATAGTTGGAAACTTTGACCCGATGTTTTTTAAAGTAAATTAGGTACGAAGTTTTGAGCATCTAAATAGTAAATCGATATTCTTGACCCTTAACTGGTAATCCTGCTAAACGCAAACAATATAATTTTGAACTTAAAGCGCTTTTGCCTCTCTCCGTCACAATTTTTTTTTGAATTTTTTGTCATCTGCACACAATAATAATTAATGGAAAAATAACAGCCTATTTACTCCTGAAAAGTAACTAGAAAGAAACTATTTATATGTCCAAATCGGTTCCACGTATGTATGCATCATGTACAATCATCATCTCACGGAGAGCAAAGGCGTTGAAATTTTCAGACCCAGAGTGAGGCATCGTGTAACAAAAGACAGTGTGTATGTTGCAAGAGAATTCATCAATGGCTAGGTATAGCTTTAATGATCAATGAATTTTTGAAATTCATTATTCTTCGTTTATTTAAGTATCGTATCGTTATCTTGTCCTCTTCAAGTTCGTGTAGCTCACTGTAATTGCTTGAAGTTATGTAATTTTCCGAAAGAACCATGAGTGTAAGTAGACGCAACTGAAGATAAGTTAATCACTCAAATTTGTCTCTGACCTACTTCAATCTAACATTAAAATCAACCGATTTCGTTGTATCCATTCAGTTATTTTTAAGCATACTAGGATGATACTGTGAACAATATGAGTTCCTGCGGAGGATGTTAAAAGTGTATATTTTTCATATTTTTGGTTAGTCTATGAAAAACCGGAACATTCAGTAAACATGTGCGCAATGGTATCGGCAACTAAGCATGAAGAGATGCACTTGTAGAGCAACTGTCCCGCGCTATCTTGTCTTAACTCTTTCTTCTCTCTCTTTCTGATAAACATACCTCTTCACTTAGTCGAGGAGTTCCATGTCTATGGAATCCGCGAGGAACAGTCATATTTTTTAGTTTTGCTTACCAATTGCCATCGTATGAATGTATATATTTTCTAGTTAAAATTTTATGTTATACGTGCGAATACGTGCGGAATTCACGATGTGCCTGGATTAAGTGATTCATTTTGCCAGATACTTATTTACGACAGAAGTGAAAAGACCTCATCCAAGATGGGAGATGACTCCAGTGAGAAACCACCGGATAGAATCTCAAAACCGGTAAGAACTATTATATTTACTTATCATTGTGACCAGTATGGATCAGTATGAATTTCGCAAACTCAGTATTTTACCCTCTTAAAATTAGTATTCACTCGATGCCTATACGTTTTCCTTGTTACTGGTTCTCATCAAATTAATGTTGAGTTTGCACAGACGGTCTCATCAGAGAATATCTTATTAGCAGCTGGATAAAATAAACAACACTATCCAACAAAGATTGACAAAATTTAGGATCATACGTAGTGTGATTTGTTCGAGAAAACATGTACATCGGCACGAAAATTACAAAAGTTAATGCAATTTTAAAAGAATTTGTCAATGTGATTTCCAACGTCTTATGCGAACTTTAGAGTCTTTAGGCAGGCATTGAGAATCGCGGGACATATGTTCTTGTGTATTTGTGACAAAGTACAGAAAATTAAACAAGTGTAAGTGTCATGACAAGAATATAGGATGGAACAATATAAAAAAATTGGATTTGAGAGTAAGGAAACTGTATTTTGAGGCTTAAAATAAATTTAACTGTATGTGTATAAAGTCCCATTGCAAAGAGGCACATGATATTGATGTCAATTTAGACATTATCATTTAGTCTCATTAAAAAATGTTTGCAGAAATTAAAAAAAAAGAAGCAGAGTATTAAAGCTTTTCTTCAAATTTATAAAATGCGACACAACGACGCATACTAAAATTAAAACGTATTATTCGTTACTTGATCTTCATCTACTTTTATTAGATTAAGTATTATGATGTATTGATCGCAGTTGATGGCAGCGGTGGCTAGCTATGCATGCCAGTTCCAACTTGGTGCTATCCTTGGCCAGTCCTCCAACATGTTGCCTCAACTCCAAGCTGCGGACAGCCCAATACAGATCGACTATGATTCTGCTACTTGGATTGGTAAGATGCGAGCTCTTCCGAATGACAATTGCAATATCGACGGTGAAACTACCAAACCACGTATCTCGTTTGCGGTGTTTAAAAATCTACGTTCGCATTTGATTTTTTTGAAGTAGACCAAATCAATATCATTCCTTGAAATTTTCACAGAATTTTCTCCGCACGAAGAGGAAAAATCACGGAAATGTTCAAGACTGGACGTTAAGTAGTTTTTCCTCTAAAAAATAAAGTATGAGAGGAAGTCTGCGACGTCGCAAACCGAGATACGTGGTTTGGTAGTTTCACCGTCGATATGTTACCATGCCTTAAATTACCGCCCGTGGTTGAAATTGAACAGCGGAGCTGTGAGCTCTTCATTAAAATTTAAGTAATGTGAATTGGATGACGATAATCAAACTTTCCTGACACGTAAAACTTGACATTTGCCTAGAATGATGCTTTTTAGTTGGGAAGAAATATTAAGTTACGTTGGAAATTCAAGGAGAAAATACAACAATTGTTAGGTAGTTTCTGAGCCTAAAATTTCTAGAGAAAAAATTTCTTTAGCGGAAGGTTTACCTCATTCAATCACTGATCACAATTTTGTACTGTTAAAGATCGATAGCTGGGCCCAAATTGCAGTAAAACAAACTCAACTTGTGAGAACTTTGAGAGTATATTATTATTTACCGATTTTTGGTTGCTTTTGTAGTCACAAATCGTAATCTTATCTAAAAGGATAACCCAATGTGCGGCGGTGTGGCTATTGCAGCCGGCATCGAATAAAGGAATACACAAATCAATTTAGGGAATAATAATATGAACATGAGTTGGGCTTAGGGCTAATATACGTAAGTACTTGAGTATACATCACGCAAAGTATCCAACGCAGAACACATCAAAGTAAATTTCGTTGGTCTTTAAATTGCAGCTAGCATGGATGTTCTGGGCACACCTATCTCCTGTCTTCTGTGTGGCCCATTGACCGATAAAATGGGACGAAAAGCAACAATAAGGCTATTTCTGTTATTATCAGCCGTAGGACATGCTATTGTCGGAGTTGCTTCAGACGTTACAGAAATTTTGATTGGAAGATTTTGTCTCGGCATAGCTGCAGGTAATTAAAAATAATTTTTTTTAGCATTAATTAATTTCAAGCTATGAGAAAAGCAAGCAGATATATTTTTGCTTCGTTATTTTCTCATTTCTCCATCAAAGCTTGCTTGAATAAATTTTCAATGAACAAGGATAAAATGATCGTACACCCCGTGGCGGTAAAAATGTCTAATATGGAGGCGGTTTGTCGTAAAAAAATCGAAGACCGTATAGAGTGAGATCCGCAAAAGGGGTCAAATATGCGCGATCGGACGCCGAAGTTCTGTATCCTTTGCTCTAGTTCTAATTGCAAGGGCTGTAAAAGTAACATTTTACTTACAAATTGTACCTGTAATAAGCCGTGCAATATCGATGTAAGAGCAAAGAAAGTTAGAGCGCCTTCAATTCACCGTGTACGCAACACCAACATCCTGTAAGCACGAATAGTTGTACCCTTGCGTTACGGCCAAGGTCGCGTCTCATCGACCGAGAAACTAGGAGCCTGTCCAACTCCAAAGTCACCAAAATCAGGTGCTGGTTGACTATTGGTTTACTATAATCAACAACCAGTTTACAATTCCAGTCATTGCGGCTGGCAATTTAATTGAGATTTTCTGCAAATCTAACACTTAATTTCTCAAGAATCAGAAGAGAAGCGAGAGGAAAAAGCAATATCTAGGAAAAAACTCAGTGACTCGGGAGTACATAATGCATCACAACCCCTTTTTAATGACGCTTTTTATATAAGCTTCGAGAATGAGTAATGAACAAATGAGGAGATCTATGCAACAGGTAATGACGCATACACTTTGCAATATGTTGATAAGATTGTGTGACTCGATGCACCATATGCAGGGAACAACTTGAAATTCCAATTGAAACTCCCTCTAAAATCTTATACGAGGATCGCCCAGAATCATGGCAGAAAACATTTTATTCATAAAAAATTGCGAAATTGGACGTATTTTCTTTGATAAATCAGTGAGCCTTCGCCATATCACATGAAAAGGTCGCAGGTCAAATTTGGTGTAATCGTGAAATCAGAACGCTAAATCTTCTTTATATGAATTGTACTCTGTTGTCTAAGAGCTGCTCAAGTTCAGGATCACGTACATAAAAGATGCCGTCAAAGGCTACACAAACTGCACACTTTCCTGAAAGGAAAACTTTCTACGGAATTCCTTCCCGCACGGGCGGGATAATGTGAAGGATTATGAACGATTCAAGCAGAGCTGACGACGACACTTCAATTGGCTGTTTTTTTTCGATGCAGCGAGTATCAGAGTAAACAGGATAAATCTTGCAATTTTTTTTAGTAATAATATGCGCTTTTATATGTTGAATATATATGACATTAAACCAACCTCAAGTCAGTTCTTTGCGATGAGTAAGTGACGTGGTGGCTCACATGTGCCGTGCGGGTCGGAAGAGCCGCTCAACAGTAAAAAAACCGCTGTTTGCGATAAGCCATTTCAAGATGTTGTATTGATAGACAATCACTGAGTCAATGGTTAGGAGGTGACGAGAATCGTAATCTGGTTGTTAATAGTATAACCAGCATATAACGTCGTGACATCGACCCTTGGTTTCTCGACCGATGAGAGGCGACACGGATCGCAGGACGCTGGAATACGACTATACGTACTTAATGGATGTCGGTGTTGCATAGACGAGAAATTGAAGGCGCTTTAACTTTTCTTGCCATTGCAGCGATATTGCGCAGTTTGTGCGACAAAGTTGAAGGGTTTATATTTATCGTTTTCTGATCTTATGGATAATCAATGCATTTCGGATTATTCGGCGGATAAACTAGTGATCAGTAAATGTAGACAACGCTGTCATGCGCACGCATTGGTGCGTATAAGGCTGGCCTCTAACAGCGTTTTTCGGCAATGCAATTGATTACCGCAACGATGAGTAGGCAGTTAATCTGACTTCCTCAGATTATTCACCGCAACTAACTTACCGAGTCTCGAGTCTACAGAGTCTTTCAGTTTGCTTATTTGTCGATTTAGTTTCATTCATCTGTTAGAATGCGGAAAAAAAGTTCGTTAGGGTGGATGGCTGCGGCAACTGATTCCCCAAAAACGTTTTGTGCATTCAAGACATAGGTAAAGGATTTTTGAAACACCACGCTTGGCCATGATGTGCAACTCATCACTGGTTAGAAATAAAAACCGAACTAAGTAAATATGGGAACTGGGTCAAATATTTCCTACACCTTGGAATCCGTGTAAAATCGCAATCAGACCGTTTAACTCAAATATGACGAAACAAAACACAGCTTTGTGTATCTATCATCAATCTGTAATTTGTTTTATCATATCCGTAACTTTTATTTAAAATTAGTAAATTTACTTAACTGGCAATCTGATTGCGGTTATAAATAAACTCCGAGATTTAGATATTATTTTACTACGCTCTCATATCTACCTACTTTGTTTGGAAATTTTTTTCAAGGGTGCAAATTGTGCACATTGTTCCGTAGGTACATTGTAATAGAATATCTAAATACCTTATTCACTTCATGCACTTTTTAAACGGGGATTCCCTCTAAATGATCTTATTTTTTTAAGACAAAATGTGTTATTCTCAGGTCACTCACTGCATTCCCGTTAAATTAGAGGAATAGTTGTACAGTCTTAGAAACTCCTGATGGCACTTGCCAGGTGCCAATTCCACTCTATATTTGCTTTGAGTAAATACCAGCGTTTAACGGTTATGAGGTGTGAAACGTTAAATAGGAGGAAGAACTGAGACTCGAGGAAGGTCATTGTTCTCAGATTTTGCAGATAATTACTCCTGATCGAACAAGACATTGTCGTGACTCTTCAGGCTCAACTCGATTCAACTTTCGATAGCTGATAACATCTCTGGATCAATGACTCATTTTCAGGGTCGTCGCCCATGTATGAATACGTAATCCATGGGAAACACATCGTAAGCGGTGGAAGTGTAAAATATTATTAATTTTTTTCCAGCAGCATGCAATATCAGATACAGTGACACTTAAACGACAACAGTCTTAACTTGTTTATTTACTTTTTATTTGAATGAACGATATAACGCCGGTGAAACTGCAAAAGAGCGTACCTCGGAAAATGCGATTTTTCAGGAGGGCAAAAAAAAACTCTCGTCGATAGAGGGGAAATAATTCTCGAAGATGCTGGATAAGATGCCTTTTTAGGTTTTATCGGTGAAATTTGTTGAAGTGTCAAAAAATCTGGCAGAAATAAGAACCCAGATTTGCATTATCGGCATGAGGAACTATCAATATATCCCGAGATATGCGAATTTTATCTAGCATCAAGCCTCTGAGTAGGTTTTCCGTCTAATTCAATCGAATCAAGATCGGACGATAAGTCCGGGAAAACATATTGCTTAAAACTTAGTGGAGGCATTTACAAGTCCTAGAAGATCGCTGATTGCGATGTTGGGCTCTGATTTCGGTGAGTTGATCAAGGAACATTCACACAACGCACGTAGCGCAACCGCGGCGGTCGGGATGACTACAAATTGTCGTTTTTCGCACAAAAGAACGTAACTCCAACCCAAGGTTGCAAAATTGACTCAAACAATTTTTTTACGAGAATGCATTTGTGCAAATTTTTTCCAAAATTATTTGATTTTCGTGTGGGATCTGAAGGAAAATTAGTGGAATTTTCGCTTAGAAATGTTCAAGATTCTCCTGGTAAAAATGGAGTTTGCGAGGGGAAATTTGGCAACATTGAAATGAAGTTACGTTCTTTTGTGAGAGGGACGACGAAATAAGCCGATTTTCCAGTAATTTTATACGCCCTATATTTTCGTCCACGACATCGCAATTCTTTTTCAGTTGAAAAATATCAAAGTTAGGAAGGGGATATTCTAGAACACCGCAAACAAGATACGCATTTTTGCAGTTTTACCATCTCGTCGAAAAGTCTCAATGATGGATTTGTAGATAGACAACGTTGTTTCATCGAGATAACGGTTGTGACAATAAATTTTGGTTGGTTATGTTACAGGTTTCGCGTTCCCATCGATCGTCTACATCTCGGAGATCAGCTCGGTGGAGCACCGGACCCCTCTTCTGGCCATCAACACCATTTCCTCGTCCTTCGGGCTTCTGTACGTCTTCATCGTGGGCGCCTTCATCAGCTGGGACATCATCTCCCTGATGACGTCCCTCATCTCGGTCATCAGCCTCGTCTACGCCTTCTTCATCCCGGAGTCCCCGGCGTGGCTCTTCCAGAACCACCGGCTCAACGACGCCATCGACAGCATCAAGTGGCTCAAAGGCGACGACTGCGACATGACCCAGGAGCTGAAGCAACTCAAAGACGCCTGCACCGAGGAGCCCAAAGGCACCGGGACCATCTTCCGACACTTCACCGGCGTCACCGTCGTCAAGCCCTTCTTCATCCTCCTCGTCTTCGCCTTCCTCCAGAACGGAACCGGTTTCTACATCCTCCTTCACTATTCCATCAACTTCATTTCCGAGTTCAAGATCGACTTCGACCCCCGCTATATCTCCATCGGTCTTGCCGTGGTCCGACTCTCGGTTTGTATCATGGCTTCGTACTTTTTGTCGCGGGTCAACCGGAAAACGGCCGGTATGGTTTCCGGCACGGGTATGGTTGTCGTTCTCGGCGGTACGCTCGTCGCTATGTATTTCATGATGGGCGATGCGACTATGTCAACCGGTTACTCCGTCATCGTGACCGTGGGTTTGTTGGCGTTTATTTTCGTCTGCGGCCTGGGAGCCCACCCCTTGCCGTGGATCATGATCTACGAGCTGTACCCGCTCCATGTTCGCGGCACCATGTGTGGGGTCAGCAACGCCATCAATTACGTTTTCATCTTCATTTTCATCAAAATGTACTATGTGCTCATTTTGAATCTCCAGATCCACGGGACTGTCATCCTTTTCGCGGCCTTTTCGGCTGCTTTCGCCGCCTACTCGTTCTTGATTTTGCCCGAGACGCAAGGGAAGAGCCTCGTCGAGATAGAGCAGGGTTTCCTCCCGAAGAAACAACGGCAAAATGGGAGTGCGTGAGTGTGGCTTTAACTGTAACCCAATGATACGGGCCCACGAGAATTCGTGAATAGAGACTTGTAATTTGGCACACAAAGAAATTAAGGAAGACCTCTGTCGAAGGAAAAAAGGCGTATTTAAAAAAGGGTGAGTTGGGCGAGTCATAGGATTAATTTGACGCTTGCCCTCTTCATTAACAAACAAATATTAAGATCTGTCCAAACTTTTTATACTCGATATTACAGGAATTATCGTGTGTATAAATTCATAAACAGTAACTAAGGTGTATGACACAACCCGCCGAAGTGCGTACCATGCCGTGGTTCTTTTTACCTTGGTTTAATAAATCAGGAGTGAAGAAAAGTTGCACTGATGAGATCGGGGCGGAAGGAACATAATGCATGAAACACCAATACAGGAGGTGTACATGAGTCCAGAGAAAAAATATATATATCTTAGAATTGGAAAGAGGTTCAGCAGGTTTTTTTTTTTTTTTTTTTTTTTTTTTTTTTTTTTTTAATGGCTTATTTAAGAAAGTAATCAACTCACGTACTTCGATAGACGTGTCAACTCACTTGGTTCTTTGATGGATCTTTTGGAAGATATTTGACCCAATTAGTCCCTTACTAAACTCAAATACTTACATAAAATAACTGATGTGTAAACCTTTTTCTGTTCTCCACAAGTACCTGAACATTGTGAGCCTTCAATAGCTTTAAAATGTAAAATTCCTAATTTCTCATACTGGCCTTCTAAGTTAAAAGCACACTAGAGTAAACGTGTGAAAATGCTATTTAGTTTAACAAACTAAAAATTTGAATATTGACGGAAGAGTTGTAATAAATCTAGGCAAACGGAGAAGGACCCCGTTCTTACAGATAAAAATAAGAGTATTTTTATTTTAACCTTTAGACCTTTAGTTTTTCACCTAAGGTAGAAAGAAATTGTTTTATTTTAATTTTGCAATAAGATACAGTTAGATCTGGAAACCTCATTTATGACGACTGTTGAAATTCATTAAATTTTGGAAAATATATTCTACCTTATGTGCTTACAATAATTGTTACGGAGCTACTTAGCTTTGAAGTCAGGAGCCTAGAAAAAATCATCGGAAATTGAAAATTGCATTTTCTCAGAGATAACTCCAGGATTTTGTGCTTGCTCACATATAATATCCAATCCTAATTGCTCCTCCTCAAATGCGAGGGTACCAAAATTGTGATTCCCTTGTAAAGTCTGGTTTTGTATCTATTCAGATTTGTATACATTACACTTCGGTTTAACAGAGAAACTTTGGCAGTTATATTTTCATCCCTCTTATTTCCCCTATGCGGGTCGATTATTGCAAGGTCGCTGCACGATTATTGATTGTCATCCAGCGATAGAGGAAGCTAATAAATCTTATGTATCAGGGGTGGTCAAAGGAACTTAGAATTGGAACTCTCTGATTTTTCAAGTTTCCCTGAGCAATTTTCAGAGAGTTCCTTGGAGTGATAAAATATAATTTTGAGAATGTCCGATTCGATTTAAAGACGATTTGAGGCTATCTGATGCGATACAGAGAAATTCACTACTTTTCGTCGACGCAAATATTTCCCAACTTTTTTCAGTTTTTCCCGACTAAGACTACCCTAAAAGAACACATTAAACGATTTTTTGGAAAATTGATAAACATTTGATTATTCTGTGTGGAACTACTCTCAGCTCTAAGCATTACATGGGAAAAAGAGAATTTCAGCCTTCCATTCGTAGTTTCATAGCTTTGGTTATTAAACTTCCTCAGGTCCATCAGAACTTTATTTATTTTTCAACTTTTTTTTTTTTTTTTTTTTTTTTTTTTTTTTTTTTAAATAAAAAATGTTTACTTTACATACTCATGTACGAACTGTTCTTTATTGATTAGCTGTAACGATAGAATCTCAGAAATCTTACTGCTGGGTTCAACTTCACTTTAAAAAAATTCAAGAGGTATTAATCAGTGGCGTGGCGTGAATGATCGATTATCAATATCTCTTCATTTGAAGCCGTGGAAAAGAATCGATCATTAGGGTGTTCGCTCCGAACACTCTGTTTATCGATCCTTTTCCATAGGTTTAAATGCCAGATCAATCGATACATCGCAAATCACGCCACGCTACTGGTATTAATCAACGGATTATGGCCGATGACCATGTGTATGGATACTCAGGTAAAGAGAGCACAATCAAGGCCTAAAGCACGTGCGTGTACCCAGTGACTTTAGTTCAGCCCGTCAAAGCTGAGGCACATTGTACTTAAGTAAGATGAATCATTTTTTCCGCAAGATTCAACCGCGTCCGCGTGGGTAAGCATATAAACACAATAAAACCATAATTGTCTGAGGACCGAATAAATAGAGATAAAACTAGCTTAATGGGAGTTGGTAAAACACTCAAGCGCACCACGACGCCAAATTTCTCTCAACTCACTCTAGTTTATGCTCTTTACAGAGGTAAGAATTATAAACTTCACCGCTTAAAATATAATTTGAAAGTCGCAACAAAGTTCAAAAATTTTCCTTTCATGACCTTGAATTTTTTTCATGAATTCTCGTACCTAATATTGTACAATAAGCGCGAAACAATACTTCGAAAGGTTTTGAGAATTATTCCACCGTATTTCGCCGACGGAGAGTTGACATCATTATAATCTGGCTAACTTGGTTCCGCTTGTAAAAGTGCAATCACCATGCATCCGGCTTCACGAAATTATGCCAAATTATCTCTTTTCTTGAGTGTCGTTGATTTAATTATTTCTGCAGACCAGAAAAACTCGCACCTCTTTCATACCCCCTCTCCTCCGTAGAGATACACTTTATTACCGAGCCACGACAGAGAAGGTCATACCTGCGTTGTTTTAGTGAACGCACCATCGATTGGGAGAAAGATAATGCGAAATAGAGGAAGGAAGAATTGAAATGTTGGATAGGATAAGTATCCGTAACATACACTGATGATAGATATATGTTTACTTGCTACTCATTTTTTTCAGACGGACATAAAATATTTGGAAAATATTTACAAAGTTTCAACGAATATAAATGGTAGGCGCCGCACAGTGGATCGAGTCAATCAGAGAGGTCAGACATGAAATCTTTGACTAAAACTGCAAAAATTTGAAGTTTATTTCGTTACATTTAAAATTTTAAAGAGTGCATGTAGTAGTAAATTTTACGAGAGAACCAATAGAATCAGTTTTGGAACCCTAACGTTTATATAAACGAAGTTATAAGCGTTTAAAGTTTCCAAATTTTGTCCGACCTCTCCTATTGACTCGATCCACTGTGCGTCGTCGCGTCGTCGGAAGAAGAGAGGGAATAGCGAGTCGATTGTTGAATCGTTATCGAATTATCCAGATCGATAAATCCCTATCTTAGCAATGCTTTCTATCGATCATGGTGATTCGATATAGATTGTTGAATCGTTATCGAATGATCGTGATCGATCAATTCCCATCTTAGCAGTGCTTTTTTTCGATCATGGTCATTCGATATCGATTCAAAAATCGAGCCAAACTTTTGCGGTCTGTTGAAGCGACACGAAGCTACAGCTACATGGATTCGGTAAAAACCAGACAAAACAGGATACTTGGTTTTCGTTTGGACGGAACGAGTTTACCTTCATGGATTCATTGTTTACAATTTTGAATAATTTGACGATAACATTGAATGAAAAATTGATTCAGAAAAGCGAGAGAAAACAGCTGATGGTAGATAAAGTTCTACACGAGGAAAGTTAAGGGAACAGACAGGCCAGCGCGCGGGGGGGGGGGGGGGGGGGGTAATTTTAAATCGCGGCCTTTAGGCTAGCCAGAGGCACCAATGTGTCGTCCTGCCCGTTTGTCACTGAGAATATTCATAGTCCCGCATGTAAATAAAGCAAAATAACTTATCACAATTGCGTCATGACCCCTGATAATGATACAATCTGATGCCATTATAGTCCAGGCGCCTGGTAGCTAAAAATGAGGCTACCTGGAATTTTGGGTACACAGCGATTTTTTTGGCTTACTTTATGTGTTTTGGGTCGCTGAATCCGAATCTGAAGTTTCCGCACGCGTATCTGGTGAGCATTTTCCGCTATTTTGAAAAAATGGCCTAAAAAGGCCTTTTTTTGCGGTTTTTTTGATATAGCGGCTACGGATGAGGAAAAGTCCCGGATTTAGCTAATGTTTTGAGTAGCTGACATAATTTGGAAGAAAATGGTGTATACATATGTTAGGTTTGCTTAAAAATTGAGGAAGATACAGCATCGTGAACATCGCGCCCATTCACGTTTTCGCGGCGCACCCGTCAACGCGCGATCCGGCTCGCCGCGGTCAGCCAAGTTCCGAAGCGTTCCAAAGTTCCGAAATCCGAGGTTCCTCAATTTTTGAGCAAACCTAGCATATTTATATACCATTTTCTTCCAAATTATGTCAGCTATTCAAAACATTAGCTAAATCCGGGACTTTTCCTCATCCGTAGCCGCTATATCAAAAAAACCGCTAAAAAAGGCCTTTTTAGGCCATTTTTTAAAAATAGCGGAAAATGCTCACCAGATACGCGTGCGGAAACTTCAGATTCGGATTCAGCGACCCAAAAAACATAAAGTAGGCCAAAAAAATCGCTGTGTACCCAAAATTCCAGGTAGACTTACCAGGCGCTTGGACTATTACAGGGTCATACGGGAAGGCATGTATCTTGTTTTTATTCGGCGCAGTCTAGTTCATCCTTATTTTTCGAGTTAGGCAATACGCGCGCTCCTATGCGTCAAAATAGTGGCATCGCGGGAAAATGTAACCGTATTGAAGGCTTACTTTGGGTTACAATGCCTCATTAATCTCGCTAAGCGATGCTTATGTTTTAGCTCATGCGGCTGAAATTTTGATGACTAACGTCATCGATTGCGACGTTGCAAATCTCCACTCGTATTTCATTTTTTGAGGAAAACTAACGCACGGGTTTTCTCGAAATTTTCTGTTTCATTTAAATAATTGAAAACACGAAACATTTTTGGAAAATATTTTAGTGGATTTCTCCTCCCTCTCCCATAAACATCATACGATATAACATGTATTGGAGCGCAATGAGGGTAAGTATACATTTTGCGACTTGGGTTTGGCCATCAATACGTGAACTTTCAGGATGCTGATTCACGAATTATGTCTGCGCTGTCGCAATGAGTAAAGTCGTGTAGTAGGTTTAAAAACATAAAAATAATCGAATGATGGACGGGAAAAATGCGTATCTACAGTTTGTGACGTTTCAAAGTGTCACAACTCAACGCACGGTGGACGATACATTTGTATATTTATTAGAATTTTTTGTGACAAACTTACTGAAAAATTAGACCTAAACTAAATTCAGATAAAATAATCTTGCTTGTTTTGAAGTTAACGAGCTTGTTAGGATTGTACATTTTATTTGTTTGCATTAGTCCTGTGAGTATTTTTGAGTACTTACACATTTTTTTAACGTTATTGACCATTAGCTATTTTTTATGTATTATTATTGTAAAACCATTCAAATGTTTCTAACTGCAAAATCGGCTCATATTAAATTACTTGACGGTGCTAGATTCAAATGAAAAGAGGTGAGAACCAGAGGAATTTCATTGCATTGAAATTTGCAAATTTTCATTTGAAATCGATTTACTTAAGCACGGTTACAATATTATTATTTCGAAGTTTTCGAAGTTCGTTCGTTCGTTAGTTTCGAAGTTCTGAGGGGCTTGGAGGACAAGGCACATAAGTGCAGTTTTTGTAATTCGAGAAATTTGTGTTTGAAGTTTTGAAATTACATGGATCCTTATGGCGGAACGAAAGCTCAAACTGACTTATTGATGCTTAAAAATTGGAATTTGAGAGCGAATTTTTCACAGAATATGCATGCACCAAGACTAGCTTTACTTGATATCATTAACATCTCAATTTCTTAAAAAATTGCACTTATAAGCCGTGTCCTCCAAGCCCCTCCTTTTTAATTTAACGAAAATTTCCTGAAATACTTGATGGAAAACATAAGTCTATAAATAATAATAAAAAAAAGTTGTTATAACTTTGAATAACTGCAGAGTGCTATGAAGCTTCGCTGACTCTCGCCCCTTCAGTTAACAAAAAAGGTAATCACACGGGGTCAATAGCTTAGTAAAAGGGATAAACATAGTCCGGCAAGAGTAGGTGCCTTCATGAGAGGAAAAATAGAAAAAATCGCCGGGCGAAGAGTGAAAGGCTAGGCCATCGATTTTACCGTGAACGGGGTTTTGATTTCATAAATAGGGATTCATTACTTTATTGAGTCGCGTGTTTGGCTGTAATGAGGGGATACGAAATTGGGTCTATCTGAGCAGCAACGTGACATGAATTCACTCACCGAAAAACGCAAGCAGGAAGATCAATATGCATCTCATCGTCGTGAAACATATCATTCTTCGGAATCATCTAAATTGTATGCAGGTCTTCTTTCCGTTGTATTCGATCTTTGACGTAAGTATGAGCCACAGGTAACCTCGGAAATCTTTGATTAGGGAAGGATGTCGTCTAGTCGTCGGAGAAGGTCTTCACACACACTAATTGTAAGCTGATATCGAGCGATGAAAACTAATTATAAACATCCTCATTGAAGATTTTGTGAGACACTTAACACTTTCCTGACCAGAAAATGCAAAAAAAAAAAAAAAAAAAAAAAAAAAAAAAAAAAAAAAAAAAAAATCTAATCTATTTTAAACTTTGCGGTCTGTTCTGGGCACGCACAAAAAAACACATTGGTTAAAAATTTTCAATCAAAATCATAAATCGATGTACTTAATCGCAGAATTCACTGCATTTTTACTTCGCGGTGGAGTTACAGAATAAAACAAGATGGCAATTTTTTGGGGATGGAGTTTAGGAAACTGTTGGGAGTAAGATTCAAAATTACCGCGTAGAATTTTGAACGAGTGCGTGAGATAGACACCGAAGAAATTAAAAGGTATCTTCAATTTGTTCTTTTTTACAAGATGAGCAAAAATCTTTCACTTTTTTCCGTTGATTGAATAATATAAATAAGACTACTCTGCCTATTAGGAGAGAGACGGTGTTATTTTAAAAGGTGTCAACACGCAATACTATTTAAATTTACTGAAGTTCGATATAATTACCGATGAAAACTTAATGCTTGGTTTTAATTTCAATGCAAATTTTAAGGGCTTAAAATCAAACTCTCATTGGACCCTGTGCAGTCTTTTTAGAACATTTGGACAGTATTAGAAAAATAAAAATCCTAAAACATAATCCCTCGGTTGGATTAAAAATTGACATGTCCTGAGAATCTATCCTCTTACGGTAAGGATCTTGAAAAAAAGCAACTTTCAAAGGATGATACCACCCTGCAAAAGCAACGACTGTACGAATGGTGGCAAAAAATAGTACGTAGGTGATAAGTGACGTCCGTTGCTAAAGACTTTTCGGCAATTATTGCTCAAATTGGAACGCGTTAACACACATTCGAATGGCGAAAAAACTCCCCGGGTTCAATTAAGCGACGGAATGACGAAAACACAGAAGCGCGGACGCTTGGTTGGAACACCACTCAGCGAACTGAGACGCGGTGGAAAAGGAAAAACAGGTGAACCTCCCGACTCAGGTCTGGACAGTCGCCGTGGTTCCGCTGCTGCACCGCCAGGCCCTTGAATCAGGAAAACTATACTTGCTGCCTTTCAGTTTAGGGACTATCCTGCCGTGCTAAGGAAGAACGCCGTATGAGCCACCACGCGTTGCCAACTTTCCTTCGACAAATCACGAATTTTCAGGAAAAATTGGGAATATTTTTCTTCCGATTATTCAGAGGATTTTCTTCGTAATTTCATCCGAAGAGTCGGAAAATTTCAAGAAAATATATTTACAACTTTCTTCCGAGATAAATATTTTCTGAGGAAAAATTTGGCAACACTTGAATGCACATGCGCGTTTTTTCTTTAGCCCTTGAATCAGGAAAACTATACTTGCTGCCTTTCAGATTAGGAACTATTCTGCCTTGCTAAGGAAGAACGCCGTATAAGCCTCCACGCGTTGCCAACTTTCCTTCGACAAATCACGAATTTTCAGGAAAAATTGGGAATATTTTTCTTCCGATTATTCAGAGGATTTTCTTCGTAATTTCATCTGAAGAGTTGGATAATTTCAAGAAAATGTATTTATAACTTCCTTCCGAAATGAATATTTTCTGAGGAAAAATTTGGCAACATTTGAATGCATACACGGCGTTTTTTCTCTAGACGGCAGTGCCCATATTCTCCGTATTGCTGTCCCAGGCAGCCAGCGTGTCCCCGACGAAAGAGCTTTTTGCTGAAAATTAGTTCACGGGCAGAAAACGGGGGTCATCAGTCGTTGCTCCGTTAATTTGATGTTTATTTGTTTGTTTCCTTCCTGTGCAAAGCACCAAATTTATTCGAATTGGTCAGGAAAACTGATAATTGTGGCCGTGTTGCGTTCCTAATCCTTGCGGGCGACGATTGTTGAATTTGCGCAATTTTCAGGGGACCACCCAATAACGTGTAGAAGACTCGAGTTCATTAGCTCTTATTTTCAACGTGTGCACTAGAAGCATAAAATTATTTTAAAGAAAATTAATAAAAATAATTTGTTTTTTAATTTTTAGCAAACGGTGAAAGATATTTTTAAAATGCCAAAATGTTCATAATTTAAAAAAAAATTCTAGAAGTTTCATGTAATGAGGTGTAAGGAAAAACATGCATGTGAAAATGAAAAATCTGAATATGATAATGTGAATGTAAAATTGTATTTAACAAAAAGATTAGAAACAACTTACAAATAGAAAAAGAAAAATTATTTACAGTAAAATTAACAACAAAAAGGTCCCTAAAGTTAAGCTCTTTTCCGAAGGTCTGGGCCTAGAGGCGCTTTTCTTTTTTTCCGCAAATTCCTTGAAGTAAGGATCTACTGAGTATTCGGTAAAACTATATATTATCTTGATTAGGGCGCATGACAGTTTTGAAAACTAAAATAAAGTCAAGTACTTTCAGAGATTTCATGGATTTTCGAAAAAAGATTTCACGGACTTTTCTTGGAATTTGAAGATGGACAAAAATTGTTTTAAAATCATTGAATAAGAATGTTTAGAATTGGAAGTTGCCGTCTTCCTACACGGCTCATATTCGGTTATTTACAGGTAAATTTATGATTTGAAGACAATGCTATATACGATTTATCCAAAGGAAATAGAGTAGAGGGAAAAGTATCAATTTTCTGGAGATAGTAACAAAATGACCAAATAATTCAAAATTTAAGGATTCTTCAGTAAATTTTGTTTTCTGAGATGGTGAGAATGTTCAGAAACTTGAAAATAATTTAAAAACAGTTTCAAGTTCTTATATTCAAAACCTTTTCAAGGCGTCACAGACCCTTTTGAAAGGTCATTTTTCCAACGTTGGTTGGATCTCTTTCGGCGTAAAATTTCTGCGCTATGCTTGCTAATACACTCGTAAGTAAAATTGATACCTGCAATCAATTGTTTTGAATTTTATAGATAGTCAAGCCTCAACGCTTTTCCATCAGATGTAACACCGATATGGGAGCTCATTAATAACAACACGATAGGTAGCGAACAAAAAATAAATAAAACTCGTTCAACAAGTGAACGATCGACTGAGAGTAATAAAGGAATGATTAACGAAAATTAAGACCTATTAAAAATGCAACAATGAGTACGGAGTACCCTCATGGGCCCTTTAACAAATTTGGAAGGATCCAAACACGGATCCAGCGATATAAAATATACGGGAGGTTGGTATACCTTCACCGGAAAACCCCTGTTAACAAATACAATTTTCCTTAGATTTGCCAAAAAGTTGAACACTGATTTTGGGTAGAACTGAAGTGCTCATTCCGAGAGAGACCTCCATTTTTCGGCATCAGTTCGTTTTTGCTCGATTAATCAAAATCATCTCCAAAAATCTAGTTCTTCTCGGAAAAATCCAATTTGCCAGAAAATCTGTACACGGTAAAGAAAAAACGATGATATTTCTGATAACGAGGCTTTTCCCGTCAAATGCCTCAGTCCGTCTGTATATACAACCACGTGAAGGTTTTTCGGTTGTTTCGCATTGTAGAGGACAGCACATTTTTTTCTCTGATGTCTAATGAGGTCACCTTCCCTGGTTTTTACCATCGAAGTCAAAAATTACCTAAGGCTGTTATCCAAGAAAATATTTTATTTAAAAGAGGTTCTCAGCTAAAGACGCCCTTCCCTCTTTGAAAATTCAATTTTCGGAAAAAAACCTGATTGGTGCTGGAAGAATAAAAGTCATTTACGATTTGAGTGACAAAGGATTGCCCCATTAAAAACGAAGGAAAATAATAAGTTCCATATTTCCTGACGCAAAACAATTGGATAACTTTACGCAGGGGTATTTAGGCCGATAAAGCATTTTGATAGGTAAAAACGTCGTTGATAGAAACCGCAAGGCGTATTCGTCGACATAAGTCGCTACTGAATCCGAAAAATTTTTCTCCGATGTCGCGGAAAAGTTAGATTTTTTGAGAAAATAGACTTTCCGGGCAAAACCGAACTGATGTGGAAGAACACGTTTCCCGGTCAGTTTCGGAATAAAAGCTAAGAATTTACGCAGATTCTAACTGAACCTAATTGAGAAATCAACCCGTGTTAACCAGTGTTCTCAACGCAAATTTTAAAGGCGTGTCGTGCTTTGCGATAAATCGATTTATCTGCCGTTCAAACCTGTATAGCAAAGGATCGATTATGAGGGTGTTCGTGATGTAAACCAGTGGCGAGGAATGATCGATTATCGATATTTCCTCATTTGAAACTGTGGTAAATAATCGGTTAATAAAGGGTTCGTTGCGAAAACCCTGTTTATCGATCCTTTTTCATAGGTTTAAATGGCAGGGCTATCGATAAATCTTAAAGTATGCGTCGCCACGGACGTAAACCTAAGTAATCGATTCTTCGCCATACTTTCAAACGGGAAAAAATGTATAGACAATGATTAACAGCTCGCCGCTGAAATTTTTGACTATGTTAATCGCTGAAAAAATTGTACCTTCACCACATAACAAAGAGAAAAAACAAGAGGATAAAAAACAGGTAGGTAAAAGGAGCTGCGCCAATACCTTATTTTTCTCCATCATAAAAAAGTACCGACTCATCTTCACAAGTGCTACCGAGTTTCTTCATTTTTGAGTGTGACTGAGAGGCTGGATGCAGAGGAGCTTTCTTGGTTCGTTTTTGAGACGTCTGCTGAGCCCGTAAACCACCTTTGATTGGTGGCATTTTCGCGAGATACTACAATAAACATTTCTTTCTCTTTGCTGTCGAGTTCTTCTTGAAAATATTTCACCAAATCTGCATCCTAAGACAAAACGTAGAGGTATATACATTCAAAATTGAGTAAGTATTCGATACATATAGAAGTCTCTTTCATTGACGACTATCGCTATATACATTTATTTATCATTTTAAATGGCAGTGATTCATAAAGAGTGTGCTAAGACTTAACGGTGGGAACTAGTTGGAGAACGCTGACTCCGCGAGTTAAACTGGTCGCGCCGAACACGGTGCGGTCGACGCGGAACGCACATTAGCGCCTGCAAGACTGAAGGAATACTTCACGCATTGCGCGTTCACTACGGAGCGCCGCGCCGGTGCGGTGCGCGCTCGGCGCATATTAGCGCCTACAAGACTGCCAGAATACTGCACGCATTGCGCGTTCACTACGGTGCGCGCTTTAATCGTTCAAAATTCGCCAACTCTCTGTGCCGGACCCATCGCGGGGTACACCATTTCCTGCCAGTGTACAACACACAACACACCCCCAGCCTGCAACCTTCGGATCGAGGGATCCTAGACATTTTGCACCCCTGAATGGTACCTTAGTCGATTGAGTCATTGATGTCGGAGATCGTCCTTCTTTTCCTGATCGACTTTTGGCATAACGAGAACTTCTTAAAAACGAACAAATCGGTCGGTCCCTTGAGTTCTCGTTATAGAGAGGATTATTGAGGGTAAAATTCGAGTACCGACTGACACATGGTCTATCAGGTTCATTTGAGGGACTGAGAATCAGAAGGACTTAATTGCGTTGCAACGTTTGGAATTTTCGAATGAAAACTTGTTTCTTTTTATTTCTTAGCGAAAAAGTGTTTTACATTGAAATCAGGGAATTTCCATCAATTTATCAAAAAAATAAAAAAATTAATAATTGTAATAAATTAAAAAAATAAATTAAATTAATTTAAAACATTTAGAGGAAACTGTGCACCTGTTCTTGAGTAAATTCGAACATTTTCGAATTAAATTTCACGACGGCGCAAAGCAATTAAGTCCCTCTGGCTCTCTCTTCCTTAATGTGAATAGTTTATGGCAATTAAAATTTGAGAAAAGAGTGTTAAGAGTTACAGAGGACGAATAGATTTACCTGTCCAATAAGTTTCGGGTGATCTAATTTTGAGTCCAGATTGTAATAGTTCCTTTTTATTTTTCGGACAGCTATCCAATGCTTTATTTTCAGAGGCAGTCGTATTATTCCCAACTGGCAAGGAGTGGGGACATTCAAAATAAAGCCTTCGATGGCTTCCAAATTTAGACAATTAGCGTTCCTGAAAAGTCAAAGAAATCGTCAAAATATTATTTATGTGTAGTTAACGGATAGTCACGGAAATTTGGTAGAATCGAGTATTAAGGGATGTTTTATAATGGGTAGGGAGAGAACAGTGTCATAGGTATATGTACACTATGCAGACGGAAATTCCTGCGATTTTAAGCGCAGTTTGTACGCATGTTAAGAATAGGCAGTAGGAGTAGGTACTAACATCTGAGTCATTTAGGTAAATAGGATACTGATAAAAAAATTACTCAAACCCAAGATACGTCATGACACCACGAAGCTTTTTTATTAATTTTTTCCCCCTTTTTGTATAAACGCGGTAAAATTATATTGATTGATGAGTGATGTTTTTCAAAATTCATGCCTATGTATCAGTATCTATGTCGTTACCCGAGAATGATGGATGTACTATCTACAAAGTTTTTGACGAACTGATGAGAGGAAAATAACTTTTACAAAACTCTTGTTGTTATCAATTGGTCATCCAAAGTTACTTAAGGGCCTTCCATATATTACGTTATAGGCTCTCAGAGGGGAGAGTGGATTTCTAACAGCCTTACGGTGGTGCTGTGCAAGGGGGGGAGAGGGTAGGGCTGAGCATTTCGTAAGCTTTCTGGCCTATTTTCGGAGAAAATGCAAAACTCCATTTTTCGTCAGCTTGATAATAAAATTCAAGATGAAAAAGAGGAAATCAGCACATCACCATTGCTGACCGATCGGACCATGCTCCTGTCATTTCTCTTGATTCCCCCTTTACCACTTGGTGAGATGATGAGTAGTGACTTTATCCGTACGTCAAAATACTTTTAACAACTATTCCAAAGACAAAAAAACCCTTCAATTTTGCTCCATGTATTTTTGTTTATTAAACTAATTATTGTATCATTAATATTTCCGATAAACTTACTTCAAAAATTTAATTTCACTAATAACAATTTTGGCCTAAAAATGCCATTGATTTTCTAAGAAAGAATGTAATGCATAAATCTGCAATAATCGCGAAAAAGGGGGGGGGCAGTCGAGCCTTACGTAATTTTTAGAGGGGGAGTGATAAGGGATACCTTACGGTGCCTTCAGAGGAAGAGGGGGGGGGGTCTAAAAATGGGAAAAATGCCTTACGTGATTTATGGATGGCCCTGACTCTGATGATGAGTAGTGCAATACTGCCGTGCTAAGGAAGAACGCCGTATGAACATTCGAGAGTTGCCAAATTTCCTTCGATAAAATGTTCATTTTTGAGGAAAGTTGCGAATATTTTTCCTCGACATTTTCAGGATCTTTAGGTAAAATTGTGAACTAAATTATCTGAAAAATTGGGATGAAAGTACTCACAAATTTACCAGAAAATCCGCGTTTTGTCACAGGAAATTTGGCAACGCCTGAAGGCTCATATGGCGTTCTTCCTCAGCACGGCAGAATAGAAATGACATGGGACTCACTTTCGTTTGTCGAACCAAATGGCCTCGTAGCCGTGCTTGTTGAGGGCCGCCATGATCACATTCACATCGTAGTTGCCAATCCCAAGTACGGATCTATGAGGGTTGATCCAGACGTCTGGCGCCAAGGAAAGACAGATAGAGTCAAGTTCCACCTTGGTAAATTTTGCGTCTTGAAATAAATTGTTCAAAGCGTGCAAAGCGCATAGTTCCTTGATCTAAACGTGAACACAACAAAAAGTTCCAAGGTGATAATACGTGGCATGATTGGATTCGATCAAATGTGAAATTAGTGCCGGTTGTATAATTTTTTTGCCGGATAAAAGAAGATCAAGGTAATTTGACGGACGCCACTTTTTGTGACAAAGCGACGTGCGATATACCGCATCGATTCGTATTGTAATGTCAGCTACTTGTCATTCTTTTGGAATTTTGAGATCGCGCTTTTGCTGTGGTGCGAGACGAAAGAAATCATGTACCACATTTGACAAAGAAATTCAACGTAATGGAGGCAGGGTTTTTTTAGAGGAAAAATATAGCATTCGATACTGATATCGAAACTGCACTGCTGAAGTGCGCTCCAGCTAATATTGTATTTAGCAAATGGGTGCTTTATATACGAGGAATAAAAATAAGCAAGTCGTACGGAATAAAACATAATACTAGGAACTTTGCAAAACGATAATCCGGGTATCGGAACTTGGCTGTTTGAAAACGCCTTCAATTGCGGCGTGATACCTCACGCATTCCGGAGAATTCAAATAGTTGTATCATTGCGCCTTAGAGATGCGACGGAAGATTACAATTGAAATAGCCTTCATGCACGCTGGCCTTTTTGATTTCCATTAACATTTTTGCAGTCGTGAATGCATGGCATAAGTGCGCTCAAGCCAGATTTGTATTCAGCAAATGAGTAGTTTTTATAGGAGGATTGAAAACGAACAAATGGTAGGATATAAAACATAATAATAGGAACTTTGCAAAACGATAATCCGGGTATCGGAACTTGGCTGTTTGAAAACGCCTTCAAATGCGGCGTGATACCTCACGCATTCCGGAGAGTTCAAATAGTTGTATCATTGCGCCTTAGAAATGCGACGGAAGATTACAATTAAAATTGCCTTCACGCACGCTGGTCTATTCGATTTCCGGTAACATTTTTACAGTCATGAATGCACAGCTTAAGTGCGCTTCGGCTATAATTGTCTATAGAAAGTGGGTAATTTTTATAGGAGGATTATAAATAAACAAGTGCTTAGAAATGAAAAAAAATAATATGAACTTTGAAAGACGATTATCCGGATATCGGAACTTGAAAGTGTCAAGCATCGCGATAAGACGTCGAAATGCGATGGACAGAAAACAAAAATTGCGATTTGCAATGTTAAAATAGGACTTGATCTTGTCTTGTATCGACATAGATTCAATAATCGGGCCGCACGTTTACCTATAAAGGAGTGGACGGGCGGAGTATGTCATTAGACTGGAAAAATCTCGATGTCAGACACAGTGAGGAACAGTTTTTATGACTACGATACATACTGTCTATTGTAATTTTGGCTGCTAAATTGGATTTGTCAACATAATGCGATAATTTTCCTGCATTTTTTACGAAAAACTTGTATCTTGACGAGAATATCGAGTTTAAGGAAAATTGATACGTGGAGGGAAATAGTGTGGGTATATCCGTCGGAAAGCCTCTAAAAATGATTAAATCCTCCACAAAATCCTCCTAATTAGCCATTTCTCCACCTTATTCCTCTAAAAATAACTTTTTCCACCTGTAAACATTGGCCTACCCCAAGTAGCAGTGATCGCGATAAATTGCGATTAAATCGGAGAATGAATCGCGATTTTATCGACGTCGCGATTTATTGCAATATTATCCGATAAAAAATCGCGATAAATTGCAATAAAATCGCGATCTTATCGACGGCGATTTATCCCAATATAATCGGGAGAAAAATCGCGATAAATAGCAATAAAATCGCGATTTTATAGAGATAAAATTGCAATTTTTCATCAACGCCCACTAACGCATGAATGACGCTTATGAAACATGTTCCTATGCCGCCGCCGTTTTTACCAAGGTCCGTCGGTAACTTAACCATCTCATTTTTTTTTATGAATTATTGGTAATGTTACAAAGACAGACTGGTAAGCTTACCTAACAACCGGTATTTTTACTGATTTTTTCAGGTAAGAATACCACTTTTATTGGTAATCAATTCCCGGTAACTTCACCATTTTATCTCGGTAATTCTACCACAGTCGATCAAAAATATTGGCGTTTTTACCAAGGTCCATCGGTAACTTTGTCATCTCACTATTATTGGTAATTTTACAGAGACAAAATGATGAGATTACCAATAGAACCTTATTTTACCAACCGTATTTCAAGGTATGAAACAAAATACAGAGGGGAAAAAAAAAAAAAAAAAAAAAAAAAAAAAAAAAAAAAATCCAATGAAAACTCGGTGTCAGTCAACGCTAAGACATATGTTGTAAGGTTGCGAAGCGCCGATCCATGTATAAGAGGCTTCAATTCGCACTCGTTTGTCCTATAGCGGCCATAGCATAGTGGCAATGTGCTGGCCTTCCGCCGTAGGTATTGGGGTTCGAATCCCCGCGGAGGCTCCGGGGATTTTACGCTCGTCTTCGTCAAAGGACCTGACGGCTGAACCTAACGGCAATCGGCTACCAACGTTAATCCCTTTTTTTTGACGATTTTATCGGTGATGAAATCGCTAGGATCATCAACATCTGAGCGATTATCCTCGATCTTATCGCGATAAAATCGAATTGCTCAGATGTTGATGATCCTAGCGATTTTATCGCCGATAAAATCGAGGATAATCGCGATTTTGTCGGCGATAAAATCGCGATTTTTCCGTTGAAAAATGCTACTTGGGACGTGGGCGAATTATTTAAATAATTTATTGGTTCTCTAAACATTGGTTTTAAGGTTACACGAAAAGCAGCTGTGAGGTTGAAATTAAATCGTCAAATAGACAATTCTTGCACCCAATGCAGTGGTCGGAATTCCTTAATTTGGAACTGTGAGAATGTTCCTTGTTGCTTTACCCGCGGAACTAACATGACATATGTGTTTGATGGCTCTAATCATCAAAGAGGAACCGAGTGCGTTGATACATTTGGACGTATTTCTGCCAAACGGAACTAAATGTATTAAGACAAAAGCCCTGAGACCCATAAGAATATGTGTTTAACAGGGCTCACGTCATAATGTGCGTAGTTCCGTTTGGCAGAAATACATCCATTTGTTAAAACACCTATCTGCCCTTACTTCATCCTTTCGATAAACAAAGCATATATGTATATCAAATACATCGACTGATTTGGTAGATGATGATAGGATATGAAATTACAGCCTCAAAAATTGTAACGATGGGTAAAAGAGTGGGGTTATGATCAGTATGAAGGTCGTACTGACGAGAAAGTATTGTAATTTATGAATAGGCAGATGTTACACTTATGAGCAAAAATAAGATTCAGATCTTGTTTTGGGAAGCTTCCAGTAACTTTGACTGGAAGAAAATGAATCGGAATATTATCGATTATTTAGGAACATCAAAGAGACCGATATTCATTTTACACAGGAATGAAGCAGGCTTTGAAAGAGAGGAGGTTTTGAGAAACAACAGTAACAGCAAACCGATAAATCAGTGTAACAAAAACATTATACTTTATTTTTCAACAATGTTGACATAAAATTAAAATTCCTTTGACTTCGAATTGAATAACAAACAGAATAAAAGAAAGATGCAATTCTTAGCGACTAGTTTTAAAGAGAAAATACGGCTCCAGAACATTGGAAATACCGACGGTGAAACTCCCAAATCACACACCTCACTTTGCGACGCACGGTGGATCGAGCCGATAGGAGAAGTCGGACAAAATCTGGAAATTTTAGAGCTTCTATTTTCGATAAAATGAAAAAAAATATTAATACTGGTTCTATTGTTTTTTTCGTGAAGTTTTCTTTCGGATACACCCTTTGAAATTAGATTTGTGACGTAATAAACATACAAAATTGACATTTTAGCCAAAAACTTCATGCCCGACCGCTCCTATTAATTCGTTCCACTGTGCGACGTTCAAGGCTTAATAATTTTTTAAATAATGAACGATTGGACGTTAATTTTTTAAAATTTCCGTGATTTTTCTCCTTTTTTGAAGAAAATTTTGCGGAAACGTCGAGGAATGATGCTGATGCTTTTCCTTTCGAAAATACAAAACGGAAGTGGAGATTTTAAAACACCGCAGACGAGAGACATATAGTTTGGGAGTGTCACACTGGAAAAAAAACCACATTGGATCTGGAGTCCAGACTCTTGAAAACATTGACAAGAAAACGGACTCTTGATTCAATCAGATTGAAGCTTCAATCAAAAGGAAATCCGCTCAAATCAAGAGGCTTGGTTCTTGATTTAAGCTTAAATCTGATTGAATCAACAGTATTTTTTCTTGTCGATGTTTTTAAGAGTCTGGACTCTAGATCCAATGTGTTTCTTTTTTCCAGTGCAAAGACGATATTCATTAATTGGGCTATGTTCGTTATGCACAACATAAGAATGAGACTGACATTATATTGGATGCTGAAATGCCATGTGTTCATTATAGACTTGTCTTGTCTTGTAGGAGCGGTCACACAATCCACATTTAAAGTTCCTAGAATTATTATGAACATTGCTCATGTGCACTTTGACGGCTGTAGCGTTTTTAAAGGTTTTATCACAGATAGGGCAAGGGTGGTTTCTGGATGCACCATGAACATGTCTCACATGACTGACAAGAGTTCTTCTTAACGTAAATTTCATATTACATTCGGTACAAGAGAACTGATACAAATCTGAATGCATACTCTGCACATGCATTTGGAGTGAACATTTGTTGATAAACGTCTCTTTGCAATACCTGCAGGTTGGTTTGAGACCTTGCACCCGAGGTTTTGAATGTACGAGAAGATGTTTAGGCCTTTTAAAAACTCTACCACAATCGCTACACTTAAAGCCATCAGAATGATGGTATCTAACATGTTCATTGAGGGCGGAAGCGAGAGAGAAATGTTCCCCACAATGTTGACAGAGGTGAGGCTTTGAATCAGAATGGACCCGCACTGTGTGGTAGTCAAGGTACTGTTTCCTTTTGAATTTTTTCGGACACAAAGGACACTGTTGCCTCGGCTGATCTGAGT